GTTCATTCGCTTAGCCGAAGATACCACAGAACGTTGATAGCACTTCTAATGTTTATTACATTAGAAGTGCTATCAACCATAAATCAGAAGAGTTCCGTTGTTGCCTAGACACGCACATAAACGAAAAAAAATATTTTACACACATAAAAAAAGTTTACGCTAATTGATTCCACGGGATTTATTGATTGTAAATCCTAAACGCCACTTATAATGTTACTAAATAGAACCTTAAAACATTCAGAATAAGATAGCGTTTCACGCGACCTGCAATGGTGTACTCCATGGTTAATGGTGTGATCGAGTACTTTTGCCATATATCGAAAAAACACATTACTATTTATGAACATTTTATTGTAAAATAATACTACTCTTTTATACAAAACGTGTTATGTATATTCAATAACTATGAAACAGTGAAATAATGTGATGCAAAAATTAATTAAACTAAAATGTATTTATTGTATAATTGCCGTTTTGTTTCTTTTTGTATATTGTAAATTTTCAAATTAAAATGCATTTAAATATTTATGTATTTTTCAATAACGCATTTTATTAAGTCGGGTAAATCATTTGATGATGCGCATTCACCTATTTGATGAAAGCTTATTTCATTAAATATGTTACTATTTGTACTCACTTAGTTGGTCAGTTAGTTATTTCAATTTTCATTAAAAATAATGCTATGATAAAGAATAACTCCAAAATAAGGTGATTAAAAAAATAATGAGAACAAAATTCCCTCATTTTTTTGCTATCCCTCAAGAATCATAATACAAAAAAAAACAAGTGTATTTTACAGAAAATCATTTTAAAAACCAAAATCATCGATAACTATAATATTGCGATGTCGAACGAATTAAAACAAGATTGGCTACATCACTATCGGAACCAAATATGAGCTGTGACTGACTTTACTAAATACTTTCGTGCAAAATGTATCGAAATATTCCTAAAACAAAAGTTTTCAGAGATTTATGCACGTTTGCTCGTAACTCCGGCGCGCCTGCACGGCCTACATCGTATTTCTAGTTTATTCACTGTTCTGTGGCTGATACAGCCACAGACATGAAGTCTGCCGCGCTATTTCATAATTTTTAAATTACCCGTTTATTTTATATTATTTATTGTCATAATAAATGGACACAGAATGAAATTATTTCACTTTTATAAAACTAGAATAAAGCTTAAAAACAGGTCTATATAGATACCAAGACGGGTTAATACTAAATAAATTACAGTTTAAAAATATTTAAAAAACACGCTTTTGTAACCATCCGAGCCAAACAGTAGAAAATACATTCTAAAAGTTCAAAAAGAAAAATATTTTTATTGTAAAAATGCATCGGCTGCTAAATGCCAATTGTTGACATTTAACTGACAGATATTGGTAAAAGTAAAGTTATTATCTATAGAAATAAATAAAGTTGAAGTGTCTGTTTGTAATGTCAAACTAGTAGGTTTTTTGATCGATCATGATCACACGGTTATTTGCAAGATACCTATGCCTAAAAACCAGTTTAAATAATTTTTTGTCTGTCTGTCTTTGCCTGTCTTTTTTTCCTGGTAATCTTCAAAACGGTTGGACCGATTGTGATAATATTTTACTAGCTGTCTGTATAAGGAGTAACTTAGACTTTTTTCCTCTCAGAAAAACCCGATACAATTTCACCCGGTCCAAGAATCGGGTTCGATTCCTCATGGAGGCACCATGGACTGCAGTCACGTACCGTACTACACCACTAAGGCAGCGCTTTTCAAATTCCACGCGGACGAAGTCGCGGGTACCAGCTAGTATTATAATATATCCACGCTTTTTTACAATAAATTGAGTTTACTTTACGATAAATCGTTTGGCTGAGACTTATTAATGGTGAAGTACATTATTATTAGCAGTAGATGTCTTATTCAAGAGTCGCCAACGAAGAATTACCATATACCTAACAGCCGAGTATTAGGTATATAGCCCAGGAAGGAAAATGATATCACATACTTCCTATAATTGTACCCAGCCCTATATTTATTACACAAATCTCAACAAAAAAGGCAGCCTTAGCATTTATTTTTCTAATGTACCTACGTAAGAAAAAGTCATGAACTCCTCAAAACTTAAAACCGGATTTTGTAAAAAAAAATGTAATTATATGATTTACATACTACGGATATCCTTATTTAAGCTAGTTTCTAGTGAATGTTTTTGATACATTTTATTAGCTTATAATACTCTCGGAAAGATATTATGTAATAATTAAATACCACTATATACATATGAAGGCATTTAAACATTAAGAATCTTGTTCTAACGTGTTTTGCTTTTGGTTATTGATATATTGGCAATTATATTGCGATCAAAAGAGTGTGTTAAACTTTCTTAAGGTTTCAACATAAAGAGATATTGAATAGTTATAGAATTGTATGATGAACCTTGTATTTATAGAAGACCACCATGAGAAACCGTTAGTACCGACTCCCACTTTACCATCCCTCTACCCTTTCTGAGGATAAGTAGCACACAAATGTCGCCCTCTTGAGTTAAATGTATGAGAAGGCTAGTCACTTATTATCAGACAACCTGTTTACGTGTTTGCTCCCTAAACAATAAAAAAAATATTTTCACATAACACAGGTTATAAAACATACCTAAACAACTGTGGAAAAAGGTCTAGAATTGTAATAGACCCATAATCTCGGTCTACTTGAAATATAATTGTATATTTTCGAGCAGATTGTATCAAAATATACTTTTTAATTTGTCTTAATTATAGCGAGGGGACGAGGATAGTCTGGTGAAGGAACCGGTCCAAAGGAGTGTCCATCGTACAATGACCTCGGTTGAATTTATACATATTAACTTTATCTGTGGTTTCACTCGACTGAATAATAATAAATAATTATTCCACGGGAACCATTTAAAGTCATTCCTGTAAGATAACGTTACTAAAAAAGATACGTGCAGTTCATGGATGCCAAGTAGAAAAGAAAAAAATATTTTGTAATTATACATACATACATGTATAAGAGTACAAGATGATTAGAAAATACCTCGGCATGGGTCTAAAACAATCATTAGCCCAGCGAAAGAGAAAAGTAGTAACTTATTACATGCCTAACAAAATCATTAAAATCAATATATGTGTACAATAATGCCTACAATAAACAATAATAAATTTAAAATCAATAAAGATGATTGAATAATACGTAGGTACACCATTATGCAGAAACTATACGCATTGATTCCGTCAGTTTGTTTTAATCTGTGCTTCCCACAGAACAATTAACAGAGGTCTCCTTTAACTGTTCTGTGGTGCTTCCGTACACAAAATTTCTTTTGACTAAAGACGCTCAGTTTCGTAAAGGCTTGAATGACTTTTACGTTATGTGAATTAAACGATCTTAAAAAGATTTTAACAGAAACACAGAAAACTTTTGAAAAGATTTAAGCAGCAGTTCATATCAGATATCATACTAATATTCAGATTTAAAATATTACTATATTTAATTAATTGTCAGCACAAACTTTTAAGAAGCATTTATATTGGGATCAAAGTCAGCTTATTGCACATTTTTTGCCCAAATTTTTTATGCAAAAACTGACACGTCCATCTTTGCTGTGTTAATAATGCATATACCTATAAAGACACTACGTGTATAAGATAATTTGCTTCAAAACATCAATGTTTCGATTTCCTTAACATAAATTATTATACGGTGGTATTCCCGTATCTATATTTTACCTCTGACGAAAGGATTAATAAAATTATGTAAAAAATATTTGCCAGCTTACTAGGTGCTTAATTATTATTTTGGACTTCCCAGTAAGGTTCTTCTGTTATTTAAATTATCATTTTATACCTACAGAGTTAAAGTACAAACTATTGTAAATAATAACGATGAAATGCATCATACTTTCAATTAGCAACAAAACCATTTATTTATTTACGTACACAATCAGAAGTCAAAATTAGGAGAGAGAAGAAGAGAATTGGCAAAACTACTTTGAAAGGAGATTTTTATCGAACAAAGTTCTCTTCTGACAATTTATGTTGTTATTGGGCAAACCTTTGCAGGAAGATACTGCTGTTTCTTTATATAAGGTACAATTCTTATTCTCTTAAATTATATATTACACATATATGGTATTATACTCTAAAATTAACTGCCAACAAAAAACACAGTCTCAAAAGTAATTGGTCGTGTTAGGAATTCCCATTATAAATGGTTCTGTCTTGGATATAGTGCTTTTAAATAGCTGAAGTTATCATTACAATTTGTGGAATTACCTTGTCGAAGTGGTGGTAACCATATAATTACGAGCAATGCTTACACCTACTCGACCGTCGTGATGCAGTTTTACCAAGCAGAGTGTTCCACGCGTCGTAACAACCTATAGCTAAGTAGACGCGTCATGCCCACCGATCATCTCATTCAAAAGCCCCCCACGCTTAAGTAAGTAAGTCATAAATGCTTCGGTACACGACTTAATACGAGGCACAAGACACTGCCGTGTTTCCCGATATGGAAAATCGTTAATCCTAAAGATCCTGATTAGGATCATCAGAAAAAACTTATTAAATTATTGTATTATCATCAGCCTTGATAAGTGTACAAAGTTTCAATTCAATTGACGTTTTGAGTAGGATGAAAATCAAAGAGTTAATTACACATATACATTGATGCAAGTAAAGTTTATAAAAGCTCATTAAATAAACTAACATTGCTTATCTGGACACATGTGGGAAAACAATTTAAATATCGGAAAAAAGCATTGTAATATTATGATCTTATTATTTATATTTTTATTGTTTTATTTCAACTATGTATATTAAACATAGAAATTGAGTTCTAGTACAAAAACCTTTATTTCAATAGCTATTGTAAAAATAATAATAAACGTAGCCGAATAAGAGAGAAATGTAAGAAGAGAGGGAATTGTAGCAAAGAGGGACGGGGAATTCTTATGTAAGACTTAGTCTTCTAGCTCTAGGTAAATGTTTTCGTGGGTGTTACCCAATTTGTATAGGCTTCACACCGATTCTTCTGGCCATTTTCTCCATAACCTCCAACTGCTTCTGTGGATAGTTAACGGTCCCTTTTGATATCGTCTCTTCGCCAGTTATCCGCTCCTTATCGCCAGGAGCTAGAACCGGTAACGATGGGTCCACCTAAACAAAGAAATTAATGTGGTATCATGATAAATTTTAATAAGACATAAATGAATACTTATTTCATATTAAAAAAAAACCTAAAACTAAAAGTGCAACCAATTGTAATTAAATTAGGTATCTTAAAAAATGGTTTAAAAAGAAGCGTAGATATCGCAATACCTACCCTTGAATCTCAATGGAATATAACCGAAAGGTGTTTAATATATGTATGTATTAGCATATGTATATATAGAGATAAATCTGACTCTACCGGTTCTAAACTCCTCCAAATCTTAAGACATTCGGCAATGCGATCTCCAAATCCTGGTGCGAAGCAGTCGGGGTCTATTGCAGCGAAGCACTGGCCCATATTCATTGGTATGTTTGAGTTTGATAGATCCCACAGGCGATTCTTGTGTGACGGATTGGAACCTAAAAAATTGAACAAAAACAGAAGTTTTAAAGAGTATTTAATTGTTAGAAGACTTTTCTCAAGAATCAAAGTATCACCATGCCAAATTTCACTGAAATCGGTTCAGTGGTTTAGCCGTAAAAGCGAAACAGACAGACTGAGTTACTTTCGGATTTATAATAATAGAAAGGAATTCTCGAAGATTGGCAATATCGTGGTGAACTGGTGGCGTCACTTGTCTTAATTCGCGACTTGGTTATTTGCAAACTAAGTAGGTATAGACATGAACAGTGTTTCTTTTGAGGAAGAAATCTCTTTATGAAACACAAATCTGCATCATTCAAAAGCTTGATCACCACTAAGGTTGATTTGTGTCGAGTGTTTACCGCTCATAAAAAAAGAAATGATATATTATTCGATCATCAACAGCCTTTAATAGTCCACTGCTGGACATGAGCCTCTCCTTAGAAAGGAGGTTTTGGCCTACTATACCACGCTGGTATAGGGTTATATTATTATTATTATTGACTCAACATAAATATCTAGCATTAAGGGCCTATCCAGACATCTGATCAGTTTTCATAAATGGATATGAAAACATTTGTAGAAATAAAGTAAAATTTATAGGTATGTCAAAACTTAGCTTAGTCTAAAAACTCGTATAATAATAATAATATTCGATCGCCTTGGACCATTTTTAACACAACGGTAAGAAAGCCATGTTTCGGCACTAATGGGGCGGCTCGACAAGCCGGTGTAAACAGGTCTTTCGTTGCTTTTCACCGAGTTACTGATGTTACCGGCGACCAAAAACTCATCTTTCCTTATTAGGGGAAGGGGGTGGGGCAAAGGGCGGCCACTTACTAGGTGACTCGTCTGCTTGTTTGTCATCCATACTAATATTATAAACGCGAAATTGTGTTTGTCTATCTGTCTGTTACCTCTCCACACTTAAACCGCTTAACCGAATTAGATGAAATTTGGTATAGAAATAGTTCGAGTCCCAGGAAAGGACATAGCATAGTTTTTATCCCAGAAATTTGTATGGGAAATCAATAACCGCTGAATCGATTGAGATTATTTTTTTTATGGAACCAACCGACAACCACGCGGACGGAGTCGCGAGATAATGCTAGTTTACCATAAAAAAGCATGTGTTGATAAACAAAGCTCAAGTAGTAGAATTTTATAATTATTAAACACATTTGTTTAATGAAAAACATAAGTATTACATATTAGTAACGGACTTTAACAAAAAGGTTTGGTTTGATAATTAATGTGGCAAAAACACGAAAAACAATTTACGTCAACAGAATTCCCCCAGATATACTACCATGTGATAATAGCTGTATTTTTATAGATAGAAGTAATTTGATGGTAAAAAAAAGCCTACCACACGCGTTATAAAATTATTATTATTTAGTGCTGTTATTATCTAAACAGATGTTCTCGAAGTATATCCAGACATCTGATCAGTTTTCATAAATGGATATGAAAACATTTGTAGAAATAAAGTAAAATTTATAGGTATGTCAAAACTTAGCTTAGTCTAAATACTCGTATATTCTCGCTTGATAGCTGTATAGTAAGAAATGTTAAAATTAATTATGTGACAATGCATTTTTAAATATATATACCTATGGATGTATGTATTACCTCTACATCTTAATCCACGCCTTTTGCCAATGTTATTTCGTATCAATACAATCAGTAACCTCTTGCCTGACGGCCGCTATTGCCAAGATTCTTTTTTTTTTAATTTTTTCGGTTTCTTTTTCAAAAAGACAACTCCCGCATTAGGAATAAATTCCTAACACACGAACGAACACCTAGACTTAGAACAACAATTTATGGATCACACAAAGTGTTGTTCCATGCGGGGATCGGACCCACAACACTCAGCGCAGTAGAAAGTGGCGAGGTGACCGCTTAAACCACTACGCCATCTGTGCAGTCCAAATGACAAAGGCAGAAGATTAATTGGAGTACAGAAAAAGGATATGGTTAAAGAGCTAGGCTAAAAGATATCGCAAGTATTGATTGGAGAACGAGGCTTACTGAGACTGTGAAAAGCCCTGGCATCATCTACTACTGCTGTCTTAGTCTCGTACATACGTCCAAAAATTGGAGGGGCTTCTAGTTCAAGGACATTGACTGGCTTTTTTTTATTATAAATTTATTTATTATTTTTGGCCGTATACCTACAACTGTTTATTTAAATCTCACCTGACAATCCACTGCAAAAGGTTTCTATCATTGTAGCTAGACAGTAGCCTTTGTAGCCACTCATTTCCTCCTCTCCGCCTAACGGCATCAGCATAGCAGTGCTATAGGCCTGTCAGTATACATGTGTTTATTTTACACTTTTTTTAAATAAGGATTTTTATATCGTTTTAAAATAGGTGATAAATTTATGTCAAAAGCAACAATAGCAAACAAGAATACATCATAGAAAAAGCCAATGCAGAAGGTTTATACACAACATCCAGCGACGCTCATTTTTTTATAAATTGATTGAGTACGCAGAATATTTTGTTTAATAGGGTGTAGTGGTCCATCGTTAACCGCCTATATTTGACTAAGTTTATATTCTGTATGAAATTAATATTTACAATTGAAATTAAAACGGTGTTCGTTAAATATTTTCACTCTTGTTAATTTATTTATAGATGCATAAATAATGTGAATGAGCCCTATAAACCCCTAAAAGAAAAGATTAGCAATGAGACGCCTGGATCGCAAAGAAGAGAATTTTTATAAAATAACGTAGGATGTGGTAGGCGAACCTATACTAGAATATATATATAAAAACACGGTGAGCTATAGACTAACCAGATAGTATACTTGTAAATAAATGCATTTAAAATTTATGTTTAAAAGCGTGTAGAAGGAAATATACGCTGTGAGCATAATTGCCACGATAAAAGTGACAGGCGCATAAGAAAAATAGTCTCACCGTTTTAGCATCGGTAGTAGGTTTACCGTCGGGTCCCAATGCCCAACTGGGTGGTAGGGGCTCTCCTTTATGAATCTGCATTTCTATCTGTAGTAAAGAAGCAGTAAATTGTAAAAAGTATTTTACCCCAAGAGGGGTCAGCAAAATTGTTTTTTTTTTTATTCTGAGTTACTCGTCTTACAAATTACTATGCAAGTAAAGTAATTAAGATTTTTTGCTAAAATGAATAATAACTACATGAAAATTGATACATTTTTGAACTGTATATACTGTTAAAATAACTTTAAACTGCAATAGCTTAATACCAATTTTATTGCACTAAACCGATTTTTGCTGTAAACATTCGTACAACATTATATTGAATCTACATGCAAATCTAGCATTCTATGCCCTTTCTCACCTTGCCCATAGCGACAGTGGTAGACGCCATATCGACCACCACTTTGTCTCCATCAACTGCTGGAGCTGCCATTGCAATGGGGTTCGTACCCAGAGCCCTCTGAAAAGCAATAACGTCGTAATATCAAGTATAACCAAAGATATAGGAGAAGAAATATGAAAACGTTAGAAATGGACTAAAGAAAATTGCTTTTAAGTAAAAATAACTTGTCAAAAAGTAAGTGCAACAATACTATTCATAAAAATATAAAAAAAAACTGTTGAAAAGAGGAATAAAGGGACGGAAAGACTCAAGACAAGTTTATCTTTTGAATATAATTATGATCTCGTTCTACGTTAGTATAATAATATTCTACGTTACTTGTAAATAAAAAAGAAATTATTTCGCGGGAACAATTAAATGTAACATCTTAAAGTATCTATTTTTATTGTCTTTATTTCTTCAAATCAACGTTAAATATAAATGATTTGACAATAGCTAAGTATGACGTCGTAGTATTTCATACAAAAATGTAGAGCGGCTATCGTTTTGACGTCTAATAAAAATATACTAGCTCGGCAGTCATCTACCACATATGGAGGATAGACGCAAGTAGCACCATCCCTGTGTATGAAAAGTAACCATAAAAACGCGTCCAATAAGGAGGGCGCTGCGGTAGCCTAGGATACATTTTAAGAAAGCACCAAAAGCAATTAGAATAAGATATACAATATAATAAAGTCAAGTAAATAATTGAGGTTTTGTATGCTGGCATTTTACTAACTACTCTAGTCATGTTTTTTTTTTTAATATTTTAACTTAGCCCACTTCATTCCGTCTACAACGGCTATGTTTATATCGTGGTTTTTCGTACGCCAGCGACCTCTATTTTCAGTTTTTGTCACACACACTTTTTCAACATATGAGATGGTCCTCCGTGCCTTTACACTCCATATACCCCATTATAAGGTAATTGCTATGAAATGTTCGATTAGTACCTCCTTAGACCTGGTGGGAACCATGATTGGTGAAGAGTTTGTGCAGGATATGCCTATGAGCCCTTCACGTTCAGCTTTAAGCGCCCAGTAGCCTGCCATGCCGTAGTGGTTGCAAGCTATTGAAGGTCGTAAAAGAATAAATGATCTATTAAATATGACTACTATTTGAATTTAATGTTTAAAATTTGGCATTTCGAGTGTTGAAAGTCATTAGCTGACAGAAATCACAATATTAACTGATAAGGCATAAGAGAAGTTTCATAAGTAGTACATCCATGAATTTCCTCATATATATATATATATATATATATATATAGATATAAATGAGAAATATTTATGTATCTTAGTTATAAACGCTCCGACTCTTTGCCTTAAAATTTAGAACTCCTTTGAGGAAAAAATCACAAACGAAATATATTTTAGCTATAGACTTTTAAATCCAATATCGATTTCCTTATAGTCCTTCAAATATTTATGCGACCCGGTACAGTGATATTCTGGTGTTTCAACCAGAATATCACTGTACTGGTAACAAGCATTCACCTTTAGCCGCGACCCATCCAACGCCGCACTCCTTTGCTTTCTTGATAGCCAGGTCCATGCAGAAGTTTCCCACGGTAGCTCCCAAGGCAGAGCGTCCATCTACCCAGGCTGTAGCAGCTGACTCTTTTAATATTAATGGCGTAGCTTTTGGTAAACATGATCCCGATAAACAGTCATTTACGTAAAACTCTGAAATTTTTAATATTATTTCTTTATATTATCCATATCATTCTTCATATTTCCGTGTGGTACATAGTGTCATGACCCCTATTCATCCCGACGGTGTCGTATGAGCCGACTAAGAGAGTAACTACGCAGGACAACAGCACTGCAAAGAGAAGGAAAACTTGAAACAAACCCTGTACCAACCCGTCTGGTCAGCGTGGTCAAAACCTGCATTCTAAGGAGAGGCCTATGTCCAGCACTGGACTAATAAAGGCTGTTGATGATGATGATTTCTTTATATACATTTTTGGTTAGAATTGTTGTTTTTTTGGATTGGCAGTATTCCTCGCAGCGTTTTTTATAATATCTAGTATTTATGGTTATAGATATCTATAACAATAGCCTACAAATAGCTAAAGTAAGTGGTAATTTCCAAAACAAAAATAACTAAAATTAATGTTTTATGATAGACAAACATTCTTTTTCGATTAGATTCACGTATTTCCTATATAAAGAGCGTCAACCTTAAAGGCCGACCACGCGCTTGTGACTCCTGAGTTACAGACGTTTATGGTTGGCGATAGCACTTTCCATCACTTACCATACTCGGTGAAAAGCAACAAGACAATTGCTTAATACCGGTTTTCTATGAGACCGTGGTATCATACCGGTCGAGCCGGTATTGTGCGGTATCGTCCCACGGTTGTCGATAACGAAAAAGTCAATCCTATACATAAGTACTTAAGTCTATTGTTTATTTATTGTTTAGGTAGTTGTTGTTTAGGCGATCGACACGCCGCTTACTGATGCGCTGAGTGTTGTGGGTCCGATCCCCACATGGGACGACACTTTGTGTGATCCACAAATTGTTGTTCTGAGTCTGGGTGTTCTTTGTGTCCGTTTCATGTATCTTTGTAAAGTCCCCCGCGACACAGGATATATTCCTAATGCGGGAGTTGTCTAAAAAAATAAATAAATAAAACTATGGTTTCTGATTGACTAGAAGTTAACAAACCTCCTCAGCATTGCGACAGACTTTTTAGACCATAATGTTCTTTGACATTAGTCAGACATCAGTTTTGACCTATTCCATCAAAATCCCCAGGTGTGCAAAATTAGGATATGCGTTCAAAAACATTTTTTCCAAACAAATGCCCAAATGCTCACATCACGAAGATAGAAATCTTACTCAGACTATTATGTGCTTCTATTCCGAACGTTTTCAGTGACCTCGACGACACCCAAGATCCGCTCCTAAACCTTCGCTCTTCTTAATACGGTGATCTTAGCAGGTAAACCACAGATGTATAAACTTAAAAAAGGCTTATTTAACCTTCCTAGCTGTACCAATTATAATACTTTTCCCAAACACTATAAAAGCTATTAATAATAGTATTAGACATCGATAAAAACGGATAAGTCCAATTTCAAGAGATCAGAAATCACACACCACGTTAGTAAAACTGTATATCTTATAGACATACTCGTGGCAGTAGCGAACACAAATCTCCCATAGCTGAAACACTTACGAGTACAAGTATCAATAGAAATAAAACCATATGATATGATTAACCCATATGATTCTAATAGACTTCAATCGAAAGAGCAGTTACAAGAAGTAAACACCAATATGATTCTAACAGACTTCAATCGAAAGAATACTTAAGAGACTTCAACGTAGCTTAGACATTCCAGAAACGCCGCAACATTCACTACATCTGCTCCAGAAAGCAGTTTCATTAGACACCTGAAGACTCTCTCGGAAAGTAATCACACAATCACCTAATCCTGATTATACTTGTCATTTCCGTGAAATCAGATAATAATACCTGTTTTTAAGATTCGCCAACTAAAAATGACGTAATAATAAAATTTGATTATTACAGGGTTTTACAGGAGCATAATCTGTGCTAATAGGTTCTAGAATATTAATAAACATTCTCAGATATACATTTTCAAATACATATACAGTATACAAATAAACACTTTATTTTATTGCATGTATCTCATGCAATAAAATAGGTAATTCAAATATTCGTGTTCACGAACAAACAAGTATCAAACCGGTGAGCGCTGACGATGCATGTCGAATTCCCTACCATCACGCCACAGTGGTCATCACGATTAGGAGTTATCTTAAAAAGAACGTCTTTAGTCAACTAATTGTCTGACCCCATGGAAGAGAAGGTTCACCCGGAAGGGTAAACGATCTCCTGTATCCGTTTCTGAACGAGTACCTTTAACAACGTTTCTACAACTTTACGGCTAGGGGTTCAATACAATGACATCCTTAAATGACTGACCTGTTGGTTGGTGGTTAGGGATCCTGACTGCTAAGCCAGAGCTCGTGAGTTCGATTCCCAACCAGAACAATTAATTCTGTGATGAGTACGATCATTTTTGTTCTGTATCTTTGTGTAATTTATCTATATCTATACAAATAAATAAAAATGGAGTGTCTGTTTGTAATATTAAAATAACCGCTTTTTACTAAATGCATACGTATGTTTACACGGTACATATGCCAAAATAACATTTTTTACAATTTTTGTCTGTCTGTCTGTCTGTTTGTTCCGGGTATCTCTGGGACGGCTGGACCGATTTCGATGGGACTTTCACTGGCAGATAGCTGATGATATAGGGAGTAACTTAGACTACTTTTTTTAGACTGGCTTCGCCCCGCGGCGTTGCCCGCGGTTATAACAACAAACGCGGGTAACACCGCGGGTCTCAGCTAGTCTATAATATGTTTCGATTAAATAAACTACAGTTTGTGTGATCGAAGATGATATGTATGCATTTAGAAATATTTAAATGTTTATGAGCAGTCTGGTTACGATAGTGCAGGTTCTGCCTAGTTTGGGATGAGATCTGTGAGGTTATTATTACTATTAAATATATTTCCAGGGTAGAAGAACAAAGAATATCGTAACAAGATAATTAGTGATTAGATGTTATATCATCATTCAAAACTTTAAACCAGAAAACAACTTTGAAGACTTGAAAGCCGAAGCACTTCTTGTGTGTCTTTACATGGAAGTAAATATATGTTTTCTTCTTTTACAAAAAATACTGAACAAATAGTATAAATTACGTTCCACATATTCTCATTCTTATATTTGGCAAAATACTTGACAGACTGACACATCACAAGATCTTGAAAATTAGTATGGTAACTAATTTTGAGACGCAGACAAACACTAAAAACAGATTTTACAGAAATACTACTACTATCAAATCGCGATATAAATGACTATGCTACTTGTCAAGTCAACCGGGTGTATAGTTTAATATACTATTATTTTTTAACATGAATATTATCGTGCGCCAAGCGAAGAGGGCGAATATCAGCTAGTTGTCTAATCACTTTTTCTTCAAATTTGATTTTTGGGCAGTATAAAAAAAGAATTTCCTAAAGTATTTCATAAATGACCACGGAGTCCTGAGGTAACAAATATCAAAAACATATGGCAAAATTAAGAAACGCCTTTCTTGTGGAAAAAAGATTATGTTGAATAAATATATTTATTTATTGAACTTGATAGGTCTATACGGATTGCCACGAAGGTTCACATAATTAACACTTAGTCTTCGTGCTACGATAATATCGTGAAAGTAAAACTCACCAAGACGATTTAATCCATGGCTGTAGTGCCCGACAGTGTCTGCATGCATCAGTAGGTCGGCATGAGCCTCTGCTTCGGTCTCCGGGGCCCCTGCGGCCTTTAGACTATCCACCATAAATCGACGCGCTTCTTCCAACCTCACCTCAGGCATGATTGCAACTGAAAGGCATAGAATCAAAGACTATGGGTAACAACCTCTCTTAAGTAACGTGAACAATGCCAAGTTATTGCGGTTTGAAGATGTTTGGCGATCTGTAAGCTCATGCTTACAGTTGGCACTTTTAATCGCTAAGGAATACTGAGTTAAAAGAGAAATTTTGATATTATTTATATTTATTACTCTTGAAATAGAGCTGTTTCCTACTTTTGAACATATGTTTAAAGTTTATAAATAAACAAACACACATTGTAATAATAATGAAATTGTAGATCAGTAATATAAAAAACCGCTATTTAATGGCGAATCAAATTAAAAAGTAAAGTGCCCCACCATCCAACTCCCACTTTTATCGTCAAACCCTTGCTACCAAACTCCATCTGATGGAACTTATCCGATATATATATATATATATCAATTTATCATTTATAATTTTCAAGGAATAAGTTTGTCCGACAAAATCGAGTTTATCCAAATTTTGTCAATTATATAATTAAATGGGGGGTTAATAATTTAAATGGGGATCGGGAAGTGGAATTTTGACTGCTGTGTCATCCCCTGGGGCTCGAAGTGGAATAGTAAGTGTTGTACAATCCCTGGGGGATTAACCCCAGAGGATTCAAGTGGAAAGACGGAATTTGATGTTACTAATTTCTCGAACATTTTGTTGATTTTTTTTAAATCGTAAACCATTTTTACTAGTTTAAATTTTCTTTTTTCCTCATTTATTTTAATAAGCTCTAATAAAATTAGGAACGATTCAACGATTGAGGATCAAAATTATTAAAGACAACCTGTTATTAGGGCGAGTATCTTCACCTTTCGTCCCGAAGTTCCACCGACTGGGCTTGACAAAACCACTACACATAACACATTTTTATCAGAAATTTCAAACAGCCTGTGATTCAATAAGAAAACAGTGTCACATTTCAGTCAACACAGGAAATAACTCATAATTTAAACCAGAGACACGTTGCGGGACCACTGAACTAAGCACTAATACAGAAGTTGGATATTTTATATGGTTGAATACGGAAAACAATATCATTCTTCAGTGAACCGGCAACTTTAAAAAATACTTAAAAAAGTCAATCATTTGAGGGAGACAAAAAGACTGTTCCTACTCCACGACCTTGTAGAAGTCGAACAAAGACTTCAGTGGGTTTTGTTAAGGAATTTGTAAGGAATATTTTTTATTCGTATATACTCATCAGCGTAATTTGCTGTTATTGGTTTTGGAAGGGTCGATTAAAGGAAGAGGATTAGTATTTTACATCAAAATGTTATATCATTTTGCCGCTTAATATGAGTTGACCCAAAGCTCTGATTGGCTTATCGATAATTTTTAATAACGTGATCATAGTAAAGAGCAGGTTGCTTTCAAAAAGAAGTATTTAAAAAGCACCTGGTATAAAAATCATTCAACTACTTAGAAAATTGTTTATTTCTACACGCTACTCTCCTATATAGGAGAAGACCAGAATATCAGAATCAGTGCAACCATACCACTATAGATTGACACCCCCTACCACTAGCTCTGAACCTTTTTGCCATCTTGGTTGTATTAAAATAATACTCACAGTTACTCAGATGAACACTCACATGTATGTAATTCACATCACATAAAAAAGTAATTTAAATTAAAAAAAATCGTATATTTATTTCATAAAAACATTTATGCTAAAGCACACAGTTCGGTGAACAGTTATTACTAAATACTAATTACTTTATAGATATATTTTACTCAATAAGATAAACACGAGATAACATACTTGTGTAATGTAATAAAGATCTTATTAATAATAAACAACACCGGACAGTAAATCTTTTACGTATTGTGGGTACTTTAATTTTTTTATTCCCATTTAATGCGTTTACAATTGTAAAATGTGAATGTGATTTCTCGTGTAAGGTAAAATTCTTAGCAAGGCTATCAGTGAGATTGTATCCTAGGCTCTGACTGAATAAAACCAGACTGTTTGCGCTTATTATGGGAAAATCACTAGTTTTAAGGCAGTATGTCCTTAACGGTCCAATTAGCGCGAGCCTCCTTCTAATATTAGGGGTTAAAGTATGAAATTGCAGATTTGTACTCAAAAATTGAAACTCTTTTTGCTAAGATGTAACATATTACATACATATTTAACCTCATTATCTATTCATAAATATCATTGCTGCCATCTAAACGAAAGTTCATTTATGCCTTTACGATACAACTGTGGGGATCTAGATTCGGCAAATTGTGTGAAAGCATTTTATAGACATTTCAGGGTCACTAACCACTAGATCAACAGGCCCGTTGGTCTAGTGGTTAGCGACCCTGACTGCTAAGCCGGAGGTCGTGGGTTCCCACCCAGAACAAATATTGTGTGATAAGCACGGTCATTTGTTCTGTGTCTTTGTGTAATTTATCTATAATATGTATGTATTTAAAAATTTACAAGTATGTTTATCCGTAGTCCGGTTACCATAGTACAGGCTCTGCCTAGTTTGGGATCAGACGACCATGTGTGAGATGTGTGAGATATTATTATTATTATATTTGTTCTGCCTCCAGAGAAGATTTTTTTATAGCACGTAGAAAATTTACCAAATCACGACAAAATGTTAGTCCGTTGGATGGATCGCCCGTCTGGCGAATAGGAATTATGACGTTTGGTTTCTAACTGCAGCTCCTGTAAGTTACAGCGGTTTTTCGTGCAGTGTGAGGTCTTGCGTTACCATGGAGCAATAATGGTGAAGATAGATTCACGAGTCAGGGCCGTTACACTGCCAGTTTCGCCATCATTGTTCGAAGTTTGGCACAGTAAACATTTGCTGTTATTGCCTGATCAGACCTGAGAAAGCTATAGTGAATAACACCATGAAGAGACCACCCAACAGTTACCATTACCTTTTTATTGGAAAGCTTTGCTTTAGGGCACTGCTGCAGCATTTGACCTTGGGTCAGCCACTGGATTTTTCTCTTACGGTCATCGTAAATAATCCACTTTTTGTCACATGTCACAATTCGATTCAATATTCCTTCATATCTGTAGCGATTTCATAAGGTAACACAAGTTTTAACACGCATTTCTTTGTGCAGATCAGTCAAATCATGAGGCACCCGTTTCTGCAGATCAGTCAATCATAAGGCATCATATTTTTTTATCTTGTTGATTTGATGAAAATGAGTCAATTTTGTAGGTAGTCTAACGTTAAACCATGCCAGCGTTTAAACCAAAAACGCAAGGTGCACGGTGGTAATTGCGAGCCGTTTCTACCGCGTTAGTTCCACGTCATTTTTAACTCGTATTCAAAAATGACTCGGATTTTCGAAGTATCTATATTTCACGTCTAAGATGAATAAAAAAAAACTATTTGAAAGTCGAAAATCGAATGTTGCACATTTTTTTAAAGAACCTGTTATTATAATGGTATTTCCATGATATAACATTGATAACCTTGGCCTGATTCTGCCGCCAAACATTGGGAGTGTTTTAAATTTTTAAAATGTTACATGTAACAAAATCGGTGTCAAATTTCCCCAACAGTTATAACAATAATGTTTGTTATTTTGTCTAGGAACATGGCTAGAGTGGCCATAGTAGAGGCATGTAGATTTGTGGTCGAATGCCTACACACTGCGGGAGCAAACCGTGATTCCGCAGAACAGCAGGCCAGGTTGCTGATCCAAGCAGACAGATTAGGACATCCTGGGGATGGCGTGAATAGATTAGGTAAGTAAATGTAGTATAGTATATAATCATTGCCTTTTAAGCACACCCAATGCAAGCGCATCTGTCAGAAAATATATTTAAAATCAAACCTTATTCATATTGTCATTAAGTTATAAATTCTTTCCAAACATTTCAAGTAAATATGTACATTAAACTCTAGTGTTAATTTGAGTCTATATGTGCCATTTCTCTCTCTAACATCTCAATATGTCTTCTGCAGCAATATTTGTGAATAACATACTTTACAAACTAATATAATTATTATTTAAATGAAATAAAGTAATTATTTTCAGAATATTACGTGAACGACATTATCAGCGGAGCTTGTGAGCCGAATAACAAACCGTTAATTCTTAAGGAGACAGCTTCAACTGCGTGGGTTGATGCTAAGAACGTTCTGGGCGCAACCGCTAGCAATTTTGCAATGGACATAGCGATTGCCAAAGCTAAAGCAACAGGCGTCGGATGGGTTGTAGTTAAAGGTAAGATAGAAAGTGTCTAATTTCTATTCTTATCTTTAATATCCATGCTAATCCACATTAATATTTTAAATGCGAAAGTGTGTCTGTCTATCTGTCTGTTACCTCTTTTCGCTTAAACCGCTGAATCGATTTATATGAAATTTGTTTTCTATTTAACTTCCGTTTACTACACTACTTTCGTTTCGTTACGTTTCCTATTTACATGAACCTGGATACTTCTATGTATCAATATCAACGACGACTACTTATGTAAAACAGAAAAGATAATAATAATAATATTTATGGCATAGCAGAGTAGGCCAAATCTCCTTTCTAAGGCCTATATCCAGCAGTGGACTATTAAAGGCTGTTGATGATGATGATGATGATGATACATACCATGTATACGACCATAAATTCAGTGTCATAAGTATTAGTTTGACTGTGCGCTGCCTCCTAATACAGGCTCCGGCCTGGTTTGGGAAGGCGCATCACATTTTGTAACTACCATGCAGCATATCTGTTATTTATTAAGATTTTGTGTGACTTATGAACATTATTTCCACTATTATTTATATATAATTATTATTAAATATTAAAAAAATATGTGTATTTCAGTGCAGATGATATTCCCTATACGCCTGGGTTCTCTGAAAAACTCTTTAGTGTTAGGATAAAGGCTAGGTAGGTGTAGGTACCATCTCAGAAGCATAACAAGGGCTAAAGTAGTTTTACTCTTCGACCTAATTTAAAATAAGTATGTGCGTGTTTTGAGAAGTATGTATTTGATGTTTCAGGGTCAAATCATAACGGAATGGCAGGTTTTTGGGCTCAAAAGGCAGCTGAAGAAGGACTGATCGGATTGGCTTTCACGAACGCGCAACCTGTTATGGCTCCCACTAGGAGTAAACAGGTAAGAAAACGAGCAAACGCGCTACAAAAATATTATCTTAAAGGATATCCTACTTATTTCACAAACAGCAGAAAAACAGTTTCTTCGGTCAAAGACCAAAAACACTCATTGAGCGAAGAAACAGCAGTGTTGTGGTCCCTCTCTTTATCTTATTGCAGTCTCACATCCGTTACTTATCGAAGACTTCTTGCGATATCTATTACCCTTAATTTACTCTGTGTGCCTGTTTTCCTTAACCAAATATACCTTTTTACTTTGGACCGTCGGAAAACGATTATGTTCCTATATCTAATGCGTTATTAGGTGTTGATAAATACTGAAATGGCTTGCATTTTGGTGAGCTTTGTCTAATACATATATATATAAATATCTCTTGTCTTGCCAAAAATATTGTAAAAAGGGGTTTTATAAACATTAATAGCTTTAAAATGCAACTCCATTTTAATATTACAAAAATATTTAACACCGATGGGCGCCTAAATTATAAAGCACAATGTAAATACATTTAAATAAGCAAAAAACTGATTCCAAATTCAAATGTAAAACTTTTATTTTTTATTTGTAACAGTATTTATGTCAGACTAATAGAGTATTATACTTGCTATTGATAAGCTTCTAAGGAGCCATATAAAATCTGAACATAGAATAAGACCAATTTGATTTTTCTTTTTTCAGGCGGCGCTGGGAACAAATCCTATTGCAATGGTTGCTCCGGCATCATGTGGCGAATCCTTCTACCTGGATATGAGTACCACAGCAGTTGATATGGGCACAGTAAGTTCACAATAGATAGTCATTTTTTAACTAGCCTGTTGATCTAGTGTTTAGTGACCCGGACTGCTAATCCAAAGGTAGGGGGTTCGATTCCCACCCAGAAAAAAAACATTGTGTGATGAACACGAATATCAGTTCTTTTTCTGGATGTAATTTATCTCTAATATGTGTGTAATTAGAAATTATAGGTCTGGTTACCATAGGAAGGGCTCTGCCGTACTGCCGTGTGTGGGATGTATAAAGTTATTATTATTATTTTTACAAACAGATTGACATGCACCGTCGGAATGGAGAGTGTCTCAAACACGGCTGGGCACAAGGACCTAATGGGATGGAGACTCTCGATCCTGAAAAGGTTAGTAGACACTGTTATAAATTGACATAATCAAATTTACCTCGAGTGTCAATACAAATGTATAATTAAAAACCAGTCATGGTATAACTGCCTGTGAATACGTCACATGTTGTTTTTTAATATCGAGTTTGACAGAAGGTATTATAGCAGATTCCATTAATAACTTAAGGCGTTAATAGTTTTGAAAAATTTATTTAAATACACGATTTAAATACATAAATCTTATTTTGAAATTAATAAAATAATGGATTTGAAATTGACCGATAAAGTTAATATTTCGTATAAGGTTGTAAGTTTAATGAAACTTTGGTTATATTATACCAAGGCCAGGGAATTACCATGAAGTATCTAGATATATCTGAAAATGTCTGCATCTTCTTTATATATTATAAAATAAAGTTTTTTGTGTTGTATGCTTTCTTTCTTTTTTGTAGATCTTTTAAACTTTAAGCATCGAATTTTAATGCGGTTTCCACTATTAGAGAGAGTGATTCAAGAGAAAGGTTAAATCTATACTAATATTATAAAGCTGAAGAGTTTGTTTGTTTGTTTGTTTGTTTGAACGCGCTAATCTTAGGAACTACTGGTCCGATTTGAAAAATTCTTTCAGTGTTAGATAGCCCATTTATCGAGGAAGGCTATAGGCTATATATCATCACGCTAAGAGCAATAGGAGCGGAGCACCAATGAAGAATGTTACAAAAACGGAGTAAATTTATTACTAATGAGAGACGCAGACGAAGTTGCGCGGGTCAGCTAGTGTATAATACTCGTACATGCACATTATAGCAGAGAAAATTCGAGAATTTCAAAGATTTGTCGTAATTGAACGTCAGCTCGTCTGCCCCCTCTAACATAAAAAAAGCTGTCTAAAATTTGATAGATTGACCAAAATAATGTAGTACGGAATTGTACATCTTAAAAAGATCTAAAAAAATCCATAATGGTATATGTCTACCTCCTATGGATAACCCACAGTAACCAATTTTATCTTTTGAATTTTCCAAAAAAAATATGTGTTATTAACGAAGCTTTTTAAACAATACATGATAGTACCTCATCCAATAAAATAAGTTAGACACGTTTTGCATTTAATGTAGATTAAAATTGCTTTTAACAGCATATTATTAAAATGAATATTTAAGAAGATATTCATGGTTTAAAATGTGCTGGCCCAACGACCGTCGAACCGTACGACCGTCCCGGGTGGCAGCGGCCGACAGGATCGGAGCGGGCCTATAAATATTGCATTTAAAGATTCATTTATGAAAAATAAATAACCTATTATGTACACTACATATGACACTATTCATATTTAACCACACCGCATCGAAATATCCTATATGATACCTTAATTCGATACCATGCGGTACAGTTTGAATCAACACAAAATCATTTTATCCGTATGACGTCCACTGATGAACAAACTCGTAGATCTGTCCTTAAACCTTCTATAAACATGGTTATTAAGACGTCTGGATCCGTCTGAGAGCAAGGGAATAGTAAAATCATCCTCAAGTATTTTTTGTCAGGCCTATCACACAAAACGCCTGTACCCACTCGGCGGCGAAGAAGCAACAGGAGGGTACAAGGGATATGGTCTCGCAGCCATGGTGGAGGTGTTATGTGGAGTGAGTGCAGGTATAATATAAACTGACAGTTAATACACTAAAAAGAATCATAAACATTTTAAATGATTGTAATAGGTAATACAGTAACGTATCTGATTACATTTTTTTTTCTTTTCACATCTTGTTAGCAAATAATGTTAACCTGTCCCTGTTAAAATGTAGGTGAGACCTTTAGAAAAAGATCAAATAATACCAGAAAACCGACGTTAAGCATATCTTTCGTCGCTTTTCACCAAGTGAGTGACGTTACAAGAGACCAACACCCTACCCCCCTACCCACCCCTCCCTCTCATTCTAGACGAGGGTTCAAATGGGTTCAAACGCAACGCACTTGTGACTCATGAGTTGCAGGTATCGATGGGCGGTGATAGTCTCTTATTATCAGGTGACCTACCTGTTCGTTTTGCCTACTATACTATAAAAAAACAGTATTCTGTACCTCGGTTTGAAAGAGCCCTACTATCCATGCAAACAAAGTTACTGAATGTATTTAATTTACTCATTAACTGAACACTTATTCAGGTTCAAGGTACGGTTGCCACCTGAAAGAGTGGAAATTGGAAAGTGACGGCACACCACACGATATTGGACATTGCTTCGTTGCCGTCAATCCAAATTGTTTTGCACCAGGCTTCGGCGACCGGCTTGCAGATTGCATTCAGCAGTGGAGGGATTTGGATCCGGTATATATATTTCACCCTTTTTGTTTAATTAACGCAAAAACGACGGGATGTAATAAGTTTGACGTGTCTGTGTATGTGTGTGTGTGTGTGTGTGTGTGTGTGTGTGTGTCTGTCAGTGGCATTGTAGCTCCGAACGGATGAACCGATTTTGATTTTGTTTTTTTTTTTGTTTGAAAGGTGAATTAGCTATGTTTAATGAAAATCGGTTCAAGATAGCCGCCGTCACTAAATGGCGGATTACATATTTTTTCACAACTCCATCAATATGGGTATCAAATGAAAGGGCTTGACTAGTAGAATACTAAACACTATGACAAATTTCAAATCCAAGATGTGTGTTTGTTTGTTAATTGTTATGATCTGTTTTGAATCATGACATGCTGAGACAGTTAAAATAGTAATGGCCAGCGCCATTAAGACGAGAGATTATAATGTAGTTTTAATACTGTTGCAGTTTCTTGTTTTAATAAAGATTATTATTATTATTATATATATATTATTATCCAGTGGTGGTCAAATGTACAATTTTTAATATTTTACTTTCTTTGCATCATTTATATAACTTTAGATTATAAGACTCAAGAAAATGCTTACAAACAGTATTATTATTATGTTTTTCATTGTAAAATAAAAAGTTATCATCTATCTATCCATGTATATTTTGAGTAGTTTTGAAAAACTGCATGGTTGAAGCCCAACACAAGTAGCTCTTTATCAGTTTATTAAACTAATCAAATTGCACTTTATTCATATTCTCTAAACACATTATATTATTATTCTATTTGTCATCTGCCATATTCTATCGTTGACTGAATACCTAGAACTCCATCGGGAAGGGCCAGTGATGTCAAATTGACAATCAGTTTAATGGCAGGTATTATGACAACTGTGTGTTTTTTTTCTTCAGGTCGATGGGAATCTACCAGTTTTGGCTCCAGGTGATAAAGAGAAAATTATGGCATGTCAGTCTGACAAGAGCGGTACAGTTTATTATGTCAAACAACAAATAGAATCGTCCAATTGTTTAGCAAAAAGACTTCAAGTCAAACCCATGGAACCAGTAAAAGAAGCATGTTGAGTTAAAAAAATTGTTAGTATGAATGCTATGATGTACACCAGAGGTTCCCAAACTTTTTGTTTTCGTTAACCCCTTAAATTTTTTTGCTTTCTGTGGAACTATCGCTGCTACATTTCTACCATATTCCCAAAACCTGCCAAGAAACGTGAAGACTAGATCGATCGACGAAAACTCTAATAGAGGTACATTTTGTATACTGTTGTGTTCTATTTATTAACAGGATATGATTACAGGCTTAATAGAATTGAATATAAACATTAATTACCGTACCGTAACTTCTACAATTCACATCAACTATTTATGTACTTGATGGATTGACAAATTATCTACCTTGATAACTTGAAATCTCCTAGTTTTGTGTCACTATGCTTGTAAAGAGGTTTTTATTTTATCAAGGTATGACTAGAGAAAGCTATTAACAATTTCCCGCAGCTTACTTTGGGAAACACTGATCAACATAATAACTGTAATAACCTGTAACTGTAAAAAATACAAATGAAACATTGTCTAAAATGATTTTACAAAAACATAACAGATAATTTTACCATTTCACACAAACAATATTCTTAAATTTAAATTGTACATTCTTAGATAAAATATATAAATGCAAATAGTAGGTATCATATAGATTTTGAAGTTTACTGTCCAACTCGTGCTTAGGCCCCGTTTGTTTTTTTTTTTTCGTAATATGTAATAATTAAGTGCCGACACCAATCTAATAGTTACTGATATGGCAACACTCACAGAAATAATCTCTCTTTAGACGATGTATCGATGATATAATATGTCGTAACCGTATGATCTTTTGACCCATACTTACAGTTTTTTTATTTGATTGACTGACAATTCCACACAAATTTTAAATAAAACTTCGAGAAAAAAAAGAGATGCAATTTGCGCAAAATATTCTATTCTTGATTTAATATGTGCAAGGTGTGGTGTTTGAAAAAAAAAAGAAACTGTTTGTATGATTTCATTGATATTACTGCTCTTGCGTGCGATTACTAAAAATAAAGTATAAATTGTACAATCTGTAATGTACTTAGAAATAAAAAGACACGCAGAAAGTGATGTATACAGTTATGCTTAGTCTAGAAAAATTTAAGAAGAAGTGAAGACTGACTTTGGAACCAATTATCTTATTTCTTTAATTGAAAATTGACTTGGCAATGTTTTATTTGTCAAAAATATGCATTGAGAAGAATCTTTTTAATACTCAGATAACTTATTTCTTTTAAATTTGTAATTAGTTATGTAACTATAAATATTAATGTTGATAAGACAACTGATCTATGTCATAATTATTATTGCATACAGATAAATACTTGTGATAACTGTTATTTTATTCCTTTTTTTATTATTTAAAGTGTATAAGTATTTATTATCAGTTATTTAATAAATGTTATTTTTCTTTGACTTGTTTATTAATATTTATATCGTTTTAATCCATTTGTAGTTACGTGATAACCGTAAGTTTTAAGGGAATAGTAAAGAAATATAGAAATAAACTATAGTAAAAACTAAACTGTTCTTCATGGTATTCTCCATCACTATCTTTCATTTGAGCTTTTCCTTGTAGCCCAGTCATATTAGGGCTTTCACCTCGGAATGAAAGATAATAAGCTGCAAATTGGTATGAACCTTTGTTTTGTCATTCTAAATGTTGTCTCAAAAGTCACAATCGTTATCGTGTCCGCGTCTCAAGATATTCAAGGTCAAAGGTCACAAAAATCGGTTTTTCGCGAATATCTGGCTTCCTATCGGTTAAATGAGATTTGCATTTATTATAAAAGTTGTAGGCTATAAAATTCCCTACAACTTTTGTTAAAACTTTTTTTTCATACGACCAACCGTTTTGAAGGTAGAGCGCGAAGAGTGCACATCGTACAGTCATATACGGCCTAATGCAAGGTCAAGCGTGAGTTATGGTTATCAGTACGTTATAAAGTCAATTATTTACTTGGAAATTATAATTATTAAACAATGCCTATTATTTATGTACTAACTATTAATTATTTATATTTAATTAAAGTAAGTAACTTGATTATTTATATATATTTATTCATATTTAACTATTTAAGTATAAAATATTATTAATTCTGGATTATATATTTTAGTTTTATTTTAAGTTAACACGACATTATATATCTTTTCTTTAAAACGCGTAAATTTTATTTTTACACGCATTCAGTGGCTGTGACACGACTTCTGCGCTATTTAAAAAAGGAAAAAAAACTGTTACTAGAGCATTGGAAAAAAATCCTGATTTAGATAAACTGGTGGAAGTATTTCAACAAGAAAACTGCCCAAAACAAACATTATTAGAAAATGGAGTGCGCATCTTGTTGGCATTATATAATGCTCCAAAATCTGAGGACAACATTGATCATTTCCGCTACACGCAATTCATCAAATTTACAAAACTAAATAAACCTGTACAACTGTCAACACTTCCACCAACAAGTGTAGCAGCTCATCAACACATAAAACGTGTCTACTACCAGATTCAAACGTGGTTAGGGAAGGACTTAGAACCTCAAGAATGGGGCTGGATGCTTGAAAATGAAATCCTGGAGCCCATACGAACGTTATTACCTCCAGCACCAGCCGAACTACTAAACGAAATATTTTGCAATTGCAAAAATGGTTGTGGTTCCCGCTGTGGATGCAGAAAATCAGGGCTACAATGTTCTTTAGCTTGCGGCCAGTGCAACGGACAAGCTTGCCTCAACGCTTCACTGTATCCAAGTAATCCCGATGAAGAAAATACATATGATCCCGATATTCTGGAAGGTTTGGAGATGAACATGACAGATAATGAGGATGATGACAATGAATCGAACATTTTTGAGCGACAAGAAGAAGAAGACGACGAACAAGAAGAAGATAATTAGCTTCCATTTCCAATTTCATTACAATTAAAATCAACAAAGATACTTTTGATGTTTGAACTCACATTTTGATAAATGTATATTATGCCTTATTTAATAATAAATAAAAATATGTGTAAAATATATACTCTTACTATCATTTTAACTTAAAATAAAACTAAAATATATAATCCAGAATTAATAATATTTAATACTGCAAGGTGTGGTGTTTGAAAAAAAAAAGAAACTGTTTGTATGATTTCATTGATATTACTGCTCTTGCGTGCGATTACTAAAAATAAAGTATAAATTGTACAATCTGTAATGTACTTAGAAATAAAAAGACACGCAGAAAGTGATGTATACAGTTATGCTTAGTCTAGAAAAATTTAAGAAGAAGTGAAGACTGACTTTGGAACCAATTATCTTATTTCTTTAATTGAAAATTGACTTGGCAATGTTTTATTTGTCAAAAATATGCATTGAGAAGAATCTTTTTAATACTCAGATAACTTATTTCTTTTAAATTTGTAATTAGTTATGTAACTATAAATATTAATGTTGATAAGACAACTGATCTATGTCATAATTATTATTGCATACAGATAAATACTTGTGATAACTGTTATTTTATTCCTTTTTTTATTATTTAAAGTGTATAAGTATTTATTATCAGTTATTTAATAAATGTTATTTTTCTTTGACTTGTTTATTAATATTTATATCGTTTTAATCCATTTGTAGTTACGTGATAACCGTAAGTTTTAAGGGAATAGTAAAGAAATATAGAAATAAACTATAGTAAAAACTAAACTGTTCTTCATGGTATTCTCCATCACTATCTTTCATTTGAGCTTTCCCCGTGCCAGTAAGTCCCAAATGGATATCTGAAACAGGTCAAACCGGCTGATAAGGTTAGACTGAAGATAGATAAGAGGATAGGTAGTTAAATCAGTAAAGCAACAGCTAATCTTTTTTAACCGACTTCAAAAACACAAAAAAGGAGGTTATCAATTCGGCTGTATTTTTTTTGTATGTTTGTTACGCGATATCTTCGTCAATAATGGACCAATTTTCAAAATTATAATCAAATTAAAAGATGGGAGTCGAATGGATATACTCCCGAGGTGGTCCCATTATAATATAATATTGTTAGTATTGTTTAAAGTCGGTTCAACTTTTTTCTGAAAGGAGTTATATAAATTCGTAAAGCGTCTGGTTCATGTTTAATAAGTTTCGTTAATTCTTATAAATAACAGTTTACGAAAAGATCCTACAGATTATTATAATAATATTAACATTCTGTTAATTTGCTTATAAGGGAAACAACGTTTACGCTTCGGATAATTATTATCTCTAGTAGCTGACGTGACTGCGATCAGCTCCGCCCGGTATAGGTATTTGCAATACCTGCCACATTCTAAGAATTGCGATGTGATGTCGACCACGTCGTTCTTTGTACAAAACGAGGGAAGAGGAAACAAAATAATTAATAGTTTCTATGACAAAATACAATGAAACTATAAATACATTACCCTTAGTTGCCAATTAATCCCTTAATTAATTAAATGAGTCGTAGGCACCTATCTTATCCTTCGTTGCCAATGACATATTATAATTTCATTGTTTATATATCATTGTTCGTTGCTAAATATTTTTAATTCGTCCGTTTTAACATACTAATGCCTAGTTCTCAACTTTGAGGCAACCGATGGCTTTCTTACTCTTTTAACATTAATCAAAATTTTCTGACAAACAAAGAATTAATTATAACATAGAGTTTACTATTAAAATAAGTATGCAACTTGGTACAATTAGAGTTAAAACCTGAAGTAAGCCCAATTAAGTTCTTCATTTTTGTCCATTACTGTCTTTAGTCTTTACCTCGTTTCATTGCGACTTGCTCAAGTCTTAAAAAAATCTCTCTCAATTCGGCTGTATCTTATTATGTTTACTACTAATACTAAACTTCTTTTTTTCTTCATTTTCTCGTTTGGTCCCATTCAAATTTGTATAAAAAACACCGCTAAGGGTAAAAAATTGTGGAATGAAGAATACAGTTCATTACAATGAATAACAATGTAGGTCGCATTGGAGTTGTTGATTCTCTTTTATTTAATTATTAGCGTCCCGGTCACCAGATACAAATATTTTGAATATTATAATTAGAAATTTATGTTGAGAACAATATGCTCGAAATTACAAATATTAACTGTTATCAGTAACAGTTTAACAGTTGCCAAGTGCCACACAAATAGCTTAATGTATACATAGATAACATTTATGATTCTTAAGAAACGTAAATATGTATCTTAACCTTATTTTACTATGTTATTTTACTACCTATATCTGAAGTACCAAAACAACATCTTTATCAGCCGTTCAATGTTTGACACCGACTTCAAACAAGGAGGTGATTCTATCCTCGGCTCTATGTATGTTTTTTTAACCGACTTCAAAAAAAGGAGGAGGTTCTCAATTCGACTGTATTTTATTTGTATGCTAACTATTATTCCTATCATTGATGGACCGTTTTAAGTTAAATCCTTTATTCTGTATTAAACTATATGCACCAACGGTGGTCCTATTGTTAAGTTTTGGTCTGATTATGGTAACTGAGGGAAAACGAGAGAAATCCAGATTAAATTGAATATGTAGTTTGTTTGTTGTTGACTTTTTATTAAATTAAATAACATTTCGTTAAATTTGGCACCGACTTCAAATAAACTAGTGCTTCCTAGTGCTTTCTAGTGCTTTTGTAATATTACCAGGAATATTAAAGGCGCCACATGCATTGTAGTCTCATCTAATCATTTTAGTACCTACCTACATGTATTTTTAAAGTCGTTTAACACGTTACTATGTGTTTATTGTAGTATGTAAATTCTATAATAAGCTTAACATGCCGAAACAAACATAAATCCATGATCAACAATAGATAACACAACTTTATATTTACTCGGGATGCTTTAATAATGTTCAGTGTTTAATGAAAATAAAAATTCTTTATTGTAGACTATGGTGTCTAATATGTAATGCAAACTAGTGTTAGTATAGTACATATATAATAGAAAACAAAGTACAAAACAAATAAAAATAGACAAAATAAAAGATACACAACATACATATATGTATATTAATTGTTACTATAAAAGTCCGAACTAAGGTAAATTCTAAGATTTACCGCTAAAACCTAACATTTATCAACGAGTTATGGTAATAGTCGGAATTTCGAGCATTTACCACCATTGACTTGGTAAATCTTAAGATTTACATCAAATATACGGTAAATGTCGATAAACACACATGTTTCACCAATAATAGAGGGAATCTGGCGCTAGGTGAGCGCTGCCGCAGCCTGCTCGCTTCGCTCGCTCGCCTTCGCGTTTTAATGGTCAATGTTATAACCCAACCTAACCCAAATTGAACTTTACAGTACTTATTGTTTTCTTCCCAAAACCAACATTTACCAACCGCCTCTGATAAAACCTAGCATACCAGTAGTAGCATAGTACCAGTTTCTAATGGTATGAGTCCGAAATATTGTTCCCCTTTTTAGTAATACAAGTTATATTTACCAACTGTGAAGATTTACCGTAGTTTGGGTTTTTACAGTAATATATGAGACACACAACAATTTGCGCTGATATATGTATGAGTATGTATATGTATATATATATGTGTATGTGTGTGGTATTACGACGTATACACCAAATTCCAAGATAGTTGGTATTTAACAAAACCTCTATCGTTTATTACCCTACCATAAATGCACCTACCTCATTCTTTCTCAGCACCGCCCAATCGGTCGACTGGCAGAGAATGCCTCGGGCATTAAGTCCGCCGATGCATGTACTTGTGCAAAAAGTTATAAATAAATATATGCACTAGGTTACAGTTAAGACTCATCTTATATCTTATCAATGTCATATAAAAATGACTGTAGAAACTATATGGCTCTGGAGCTGTATAAGATTTATTGTCAGCATTTAGTTTATTAAATTTACGAATGGTTATGTTAAATTTGTTTTATAAATAATAAATACATATTTATTGGGTTCGATTACCACCCAGGACAAGTGATTGTGTGATGAACACCATCATTTATTCTGTGACTGAGTGTAATTTATCTATAATATTGATATATTTAGAAATATTTAAGTTTATTCATAAGATTAGTTAGTTAGGTTAACAGCACTTCAGAGGAAAACTTGAAACAAACCCTTTTTTTTTTTTTTTTTTTTACGTGTGGAAATCCCCTCGGACCGTCACCCCACCGGGGTTTGCGGCGGGGTGGTGTGTCGGACTCGGACCGACTAAAACCACACGGTGTGCCACTCTGCGCCTGTAACAGGAGGGATCCGGGAACAGCTGTTGTTAAGACATCCGGACCCCTCCTAGCGCCAGCCCGCTCCTGGTGCGGGCTCCGTCTCAATATTTTCCTCTCTTTAGGCGACGTCCGGCACACGCGGACGCCGCCCCCTCGCGGCTGGCCAAACTAATGCGGGTGGAGGGGAAACCCACCCCGTCCACCCGCGGCCACACTCAGGGCGGCATGAGGCGGTGATAGTTGACGGTTGACAGGGAGACTACGTCCCCCTGCCTGCTCGGTGGTAGTGTCAGTACACGCCGAGCCCGTCCTCCTTTCTCCACCGCTGTCAGCGGAGAAACTGTGGCCCCTACAGGGCCCCGCCGTCCGGTTTTTTACCGAGGTTTCCTCCTCCATGCTCCGAAGAGCGAAGAGCCAGCAGGGCGACCGGCAGACACGCCCACCCTGCTGGACCAGGCCTTGCCCGAGAGCCGATGAATGGCTTCCTCTTCTGCTAGAATATTGGCCGCTGGCGATAATCCTCTCCTCCAAGTGGACAAGGAGGAAACAGTGCCATCACCAGCGTTTCCAGGGTGCACCACGGGGAGGTTTTCTAGCCTAGCACCCCAAACCCTAAACCAACCCATCTGGCCAGCGTATTATAGTAGGCCAAAACCTCCTTTCTAAGGAGAGGCCTATGTCTAACAGTGGGCTACTAAAGGCTGTTGATGATTATGATGATGATGATCAACAGTCTTTCTTTCAGTCTAGTTACCATAGTACAGGCTCTGCCTAGTTTAGGATCAGACGGCCGTGTGTGAGATGTGTGAGATTATTGTTATTTATTATATTCCGTTTTTTTATATACTCTCCATGAAAGTTTAATTAGCACTTAGCCGGCTTTTTTACTTTTTTTTAATGACAAGTATTAGGGTTGTCACGAGTTTACAAAGAATTCGATAACACTAGCTTTGTATATTTAAAAAACGGCAACACACGCTAACTCTTGATTTATAGATGTCCATAGAGGGCGCTAGAATATTTATTTGTGATGTCTGGGAACTGAACTGCCGCACCAGGAATATTTCCTGTGTCGCGGTGGACTTTACATACAAATATGAAACAAACACAAAGAACACCTAGACCCAGAACAACAGTTTGTGGATCACACAAAGTGTAATCCCATGTGGGGATGGAACCCATAACACTCAGCGCAGTAGGAAGCGGTGAGGTAACCGCTTAAACCATCACGCCATCCGTGCAGTCCTTTAAAAATAGCTTGTGCGAATGTCCAATCTATTTAAGTAGATTAAGTACACATTGCACGAAACAGTATTTTAATCTAAATATATGTTTGATACCACATGACATTACATGTGCCATATGCGTTTGTATACCTAACATAATATTGTCCAGACTTAATAGAGGAGTTACTGCACAAATACAATACAGATATACACGACTTCAGTTTAACGACACTCGCCACCGCGAGTGCACGTGTTCAACCTACTTTAATATACAAATTGTGTTATCAGTGACGCAAGTCTGTTTATAAACAAATAGAGAAAATACATACAGGTTCCGATTATGCAAGCATGCGAGTAAGTTAAATATGATATGCCTTTTATATATTATCTTAAGATGCTTGTATCATTTTGTACGGCCGCGTTATCTATAGGTACGTATAAAGTTACTAGTCCTGACTGATTGACTGATTTATCAACGCAAAGCCTAAACCTTAGGTGGTAAACACCCACTAAGAAAGGATTTTTGGAAGTTTCACTCCTAAGGGGGTAAAATATGGGATGAACGGTTGTATGGAAGTTCGTAATTTTCAAAGTTAGAAACACGAAATAAGAAATAATCTCGCGAGTGCGGTAATAGCTGGTTTCCTTTGGTAACCTTGAATTTGTTGGTGCGTTTAATATTTATCAGCTGTTTTGTTTTTTTCCTTCCTCGCATCAATAACATGTAAAATAAATTTACATAACAATTTTATGAGTAGGTACTTATTGTTTATGTAAAGTAACTATTGTTATGTAGTAATTGTGGTTGTACTCTATTTGTTTAAGTTCGATTCCCGGTCATAAACCTTTGAGTTGTTGAAGGTTATGTGCATTTAAATTTAGATATTGCGTTATGAGTGTTTTATTATACAGTTTTATCATACAGAGTAATTAGACGTAAATATATGCATACAGTAACAAAGTAATTAAACCTAGTAACCAAATTGATAAAAAAATATTACAGCAATAAGTATCAGTCCAGAACAGAGTCGTTGAGGGATCGCTGCAGTAAAGCATTTCTTCTACAATAAAAATGAACACCGTAAGAAAACATAATTACTGAAATCTAAGTACCTATATTTTTTTTTTTTCTTTAAAAATACAACTCCCGCACTAGGAATAAATCCTGTGTCGCGGGGGACTTTACAAACATTCATGAAACGGACACAAAGTACACCGAGACTCAGAACAACAATTTGTGGGTCACACAAAGTGTTGGTTCATGTGGGGTTTGAACCCACAACACTCGGCGTAATAGAAAGCGGCGTGGCGACAGCTTTAACCACTACGCCATCCGTGCAGTCGATTTTTTGTTGACAATATTTTATAAAACACATACGTACATACACTCACGACTTTTATCCCCTAAGTAAGGGGTAGACAAAGACGTACCTATTAAAACGCCTACAATTTTAGCAGACGGGTCACCCCACGTGCCCTCCGTCGTCACCTGCAACTCAATTAATGCAAGTGTGTTGCCGTGGAAATACTTTGTCTTACAAATTTAAAAATCACAAGATAACTACTACACGAGCTACATAATATTCAGCTTCAGCCTAGTTCCATCAACTGCTGAACGAAGGACTGCCCCAAAGTGCACCAACCATCCCAGTTTTGGGTAGTCCGCTGCCAGCCATATTCCTCAAGTCGTCGTCGGCCCGTTGTGCCGCATCTTAGCTAATATTCCTGTTGGGCTTATTACTGTGGGAATGGTTTCAGTGTGTGTGCTCCATAATGGGTTATATCTAATTTCAGTGGATGATATTTGCTGAGTTTTTCTAGTTCTTTCGGCCCTATGTTATAATCTGACGGAATAGTTACATCTATTAAGTAGGTTTTATTTTTAGTCTTGTCAACGTACATTATGTCCGGTATATTGTGTGTAATGGTGACATCTGTCTGAACTGGTATATTTAAATTTGCTGATGTTTGATGCTCAAATATTATAGTGTATATAATTTAATATGTAAAAACAACTTAACATAATATTGTATCCAGTATAATATGCAGGTATATGTTGATCTGGCATAGCTTGGAAAGTATATACGAGTATAAGACAGGTCCTGAGGATCTGATTGCTATACAGACCAGTAGTCTGCACACTATGTTTCATAACTTTCTAAATAGCTAAGTTATAATTCAATCATACCTAAACCACCCAAACAAGATATACAAATACCAGAGCCAGTTATTGGAGCCACAGGTCATTACAATAACAGGTTTATTTAATAAATAAAAATTGAAATAAAATGTCATAGTGAAGCATTTTGCTGATAAAAATACTGGTTTGTATTACGGTCTTGTTATGTCACAGACAACTTTTTTCCAAATTAAATTTTACAATATTCTAAACGACTTTTGATCAATACACAGCCACAGTAAACATTGATTTTATTTGTCCATCAAACAACTATAGGTTTTTATAATATATTTATAATTTATAAACAAACTAGCCATTGCCCGCGGCTTCATTTACGTAATCATTTCTTATTTCGTGTTTCTTCCTTTGAAAATGCCGAACTTCCACACAACCGTTCATCCCTTATTTTATCTCCTTAGGAGTAAAATTCCCAAAAATCTTTTCTTAGTGGTGTTTACAACATAAAAAGCAACAGCTGCCAAAATTTCAAGTTTCTAGCCCCAACGGTTTAGGGTCTGTGTTGAATCAGCCAATCAGTCAGAGCAAGTAATTTTATACGAATAGATGTTTAACGGTATTGAGTGGAACAATCGAAAACACTTTCTACAAAACAAAAAAATATTGTTCCAGGAAACGAATACAAGCTATTATTTTAAGATTTAATTTGTTCAGACGTAATCTTTATAAATAAACTTCCTATTTCACATATGTATATAGGGTATACTCGTATATCTGAAATAGGAAGTGTATTTGGACATAGACAGAGGAGAATTTAATGCTCAGATTTTGCGACTATATTATGTTTGTTATGTAAGTACATAACATTCATAATATACTTATAAATTTTTAGAACACATACATCACATCATATCAACATCCCTTAATAGTCCAATGCTGGACATAGGCCTCTCCTTAGAAGAGAGGCTTTTGCCTATCATACCACGCTGGCCAGACGGGGTTCGTTTGTGTCAAGTTATCCTCTTTGCAGTGCTCTTGTCCTGAGTAATTTGCTTCTTTAGTCGGCTCTTACGACACCCATGGGATGAGTAGGGGAGGTGACATTCCGTATTCTTAATCCTTGTGGTGCCACACGGACACATACATATATTAGAGAAATAACAGACAAATAGTGTGCTTCATCATCAACAGCCTTTAATAGTCCACTGCTGGACATATACCTCTCCTTAGAAATAGTGTGCTTATCACACAATATTTGTCCTGGTGTGGCAGTTATTGTTGGTCACCAATAGACCATCAGGCAATTGCCTCCTTATTCTAACACCCATTTTCACATATTACAAAAATATAAACACAACTTTTATACTTCTTTCGACATGACTACCACTAAAGTGTTCCCGCTGTACGAAACCTGTTCTCCTCTACCATTTTGTGCATGACGTTTCAAGCTGGTTACTCTGATAAAGATAAAAAGTTAGCTAGCTTAAAAAGTTAGCTCTGCTCGTGACCCAGGTCACAATTAAATTAACCTTTCATTTGTCATGCCTATTGAGTACGTTATCGCAACAAAACCTAAGATCAATTTGATATAATTATTCAATAATAGGTAAGTACATTACGACATAGTTATTTCAAACTTTAACACAATGCCCATGTTGTTCTTGCATGTGGATAAAATGATCTTTTGTACATAATTAGCTATATATCATAATACATTATTGAGTAATTGTTACTAAAACAAGTTATTTGCAGCATATATTCTTCATATAACCTTCAAATATTCTGCAGATATAAAGTGTACACCACACTATGTACGTACGTACCTATTTAAATTGGCAACGTAACATGAATGCGCTGTTAAGGAAACGCGACTTTGCAACGGCGTGAGGGGTCTATGGACCCCCGGTCGGAACGAAGCTCCTTTCCGTTTTTGGTGGACGTTTGCTATACAGTCATTATAATTTATATTATAAAATATCAAGTAGCAATAGAGTTAAATTTAAAAAAAATATATTTATTATGTATAAAATAAATAATGATAAATTAAACACTGAATGATTTGATACAAAAAAAGTCAGAAAAAAGTCTCGTTACACATTTTTCGGTCTCGCTCCCATTTGCATTTCACATTTGCTGCATTTGACCTTCGTTCCAATAAATAATGATAAATAAACACTGAGTGATCTGGGACAACAGGTGTCCGAAAAAAAGTCTTGTTACACATTTTTTTGGTCTATAAGGAACTTCGATAAGCAACTTCGTCCCAGTCAAAAGGAGTCTGCCATCCTTGCCATGCCAACATCTAAAAAAATGATTCACCAACAATAAAAGGGATCTGGCGATCGGTGGTGGATGTCGCGCTTTAATAGTTATCTGTGTGGTGACGGATTAAGAATACGAAGTGTCACCACTCTTATTCATCCCGTGGGTGTCGTAAGAGCCGACAAACTACGCAGAACTGTAAAGAGAACTGAGCATTATATCGCCTTTAATTAAGTCCCACTTATATGATATACCTACATGCCTGTAGCCTTTAACCAGGCATTTCGACATTTAATTTGAAGGGTAAAAAGGGGGCTCATGGCTAAGTAGTAACCGAGTAGGTTAACACATTGCAAAGTTAAGCAATCCTAACCAGGTCAGTCTATGGATGGGTGACCATTCTTAACACCTTAAGACACTTCCGTGCCTCGGAGAAGACGCTAAGCCGTCGGTCCCAGTTGCTATACGAGTACAAACATCTGTGGTAATAGTTACGGGTTGTATGAGCAATAAAAATGTGTACCACAGTCTTTCGACACGATTTCGGCCTAATTGGGTTGTGGAGGTCTGATGGCAGTGGCTCAAAGTAAAAAAATCAAAGTTCAAAAGTATCGTAGTAGACATAAAGCTGACCCCAACCTAGTTTGGGGAAAAGGCTCAGAGGAGAAAGATATTAAAAGGCAAGGGGAACCTAGAGGAGTGGAGGAAAAAGATATATATTTCTTTTTGATATTTTGTAAATGCTGTGTTAGCTCGTAAGTGGCATGTATATCAGAACATTATAACCTAGATTTTACCATAGGTAAATGTAACATACCTATATATGCTGTGAGTTAACTAAATAAATAAATATCTACATTGCATGGAACTTTTCCTAATATACCTAAGGTTTATTAAACTCTTGCTTAAGAAAGGTGTCGTTATCCGTGCTTCATCAGTCATTCCATAGACCTACAGCTTTGGTACCCATATTTTCAAAAATATTTAAGATCGCCATATCTAATACTATTGCTATTTACTTCAAAAATAACAACCTGTTTACTAAGAAACAGAAATTTCCGTAAAATAAAACTATCGATTTCGCTATTTACAATTTATTGCTCGTTCTTTTTTGTAGAATAGATTACCGGCACTGTATGATGTTTTGACGATTTTCACTATGTTGAACAATAAATTCTTCTCCATAACGCATGGATGGCGTAATGGTTTAAGCGCTCGCCGTGCCGTTTCCTCCTCCTTGAATGTTGTGGGTTCGATCCCCACATTGGACGACACTTTGTGTGATCTACAAATTGTTGTTCTGAGCCTGGGTGTTCTTTGTTTTCATGTATGTTTGTAAAGCTCCACGCGACACAGGATATATTCCTAATGCCTTTCCTAATTCCTAATGCGGGAGTTGTCTTTTGTCACATAAGATGAAAATAAGATAAACTAATTCTTAAATATCTACATACTGACATTTTACATACCACACAGTAACATATTTAAAATGGTTATTGTGTTTGGCGAGGTTATTAAGGTCAGTTTAAAAGATAAAAGTTACATGTCTTTTACTACCTACATCATTATCATAAATATATACAATTAAATTGATAAAAATGATAAGCTAGCGTAACTATTATCGCCGACCTATCAGTATCGAATATCGAACTTAAGTAGGTATATTATTTTACAAAAAAATCATCGTTAACAATAAAAAAAACCGGTCAAGTGCGAGTCGAACTCGAGCGCTGAGGGTTCCGTACCTTTTACGTAGATTTTCGCGAAAACTTGTAAGTACCAAAATTTACCTTAATTTTCAACTTGTTTTATTTTTTGGAATTTTTCCTTTATTTGTGCTGTAAGACTTTGATTTTTACCAAATTTCGTGATTCTAGGTCAACGGGTACGACCATATAAATTTTCGACCCAAAACCTATAAGGTACTTCCGGTTGACCTAGAATTGTTAATTTTTGGTTAAAAGCAAGGTCTTCACAAGTAAATAAAAATAAAAAACTTAAACAATTAAGGTAAATTTTGGAACTTTTTATCGTGTTGACACAGGACCTTGATTCTTTTACACCTAATAGGGACTATAGACCTCAGTATCTGGTATAAATTTCAACTTGCTAGGTGCACCTGTTCCTGAGAAAACGGACAGACAGACGGACAAGAGAGTGATCTTATAAGGGTTCCTTTTTACCTTATGAGGTACGGAACCCTAAAAACAACTAAATGACAACTTATTTTTATGCAAAAGAAAACGGAATAATTATCGTTAACTGCTGTGACATCTGATGACCGGATGGCGTTGTGGTTTGTGTAACGGACTGCAACGCCAAATTGCCGCTGAATTCCAACATGTCATATGAAGATCACTTAAAATTTGATTTGTTCTGGGTGTTTTTATGTACAATATGTATGTATTTACAAAAAAAAAACATATAGGTATACAGGGTGACTGATTAAATCAACCTAGATACTTTAGGGGGTTGTAGTGGTCATTATTACTAATAGCACACCAAATCATTGTCAATATATTGGACTTTACGATTTTTTATAAAAATTGCTAAAATTTTGCCTAATACATTTTTTTTGTAACTTATACCCTCAATTTTTTATTTGGTTTTTACTGTTTTTGTGTCGTTGATACATTGTTTTAATTTAACAAACCGGGCCGAAGGTTGGTTGATTGATAATAGCAAAATAAATAAAACAGAAGTGTGCTTTGTGCTAGTTTAGTTGCAGATGTGTTAAAACATGTACGTATTATCGGCTTTCTAACAAGGTATAATAGTAGACTATTTATTAGCATAGTATTAGAATTCAAAGAAAAAAACTTAGATGTAAGTCCGGGAATATTACTAATTAGCGTACAACCTGGTAGTATTCGTAACTATTCCTGTTCTATTCGTAACTAACTATAATTGCTAATTGGACTTTGATTTGTGCTTCTGATACTGTTGAAGATGATGACCTACACGAACTATGATTTCTTACGAATATTGCCAAAGCATATCTGCAGGAGCCACAAGTCTGGCAGGCATGGTATAATAGGCCAAAACCTTATTTCTAAGGTTTAAATTTTTTCTACTTGCCTTCTAAAAAAATTGAAAAGAAGAGTTAAAAAGAGTTAAAAAAAATAGGGAAAATTTCGGCATTTTTTATAAAAAATCTTAAGAGTCCAATATCTTCAAAATGGTTTGGTTTGGGATATGGTATTTCATAGTGAAATCTATTGGTAACCATGGCCACTACAACCCCCTAAAGTAACCAGTTCGACTCAACCAGTAACCCTGTATGTATTTATATAAGTTGTCTAGTACCCATACCACAAGCTCTGCTTAGTTTGGGACTTGATGGCGTTGTGTAAATGTGGTAGAATATTATATCTAATATAGTTCATACTTTATTATCACTACGAAATAGCCTGTTATTAACTCTTTTTAGGAAGATGATCAGAGTAGCAACAGTAGAGGCGTGCAGATTTATGGTCGACTGCCTGCACGCAGCAGGAGCGAACCGAGAAGCAGCTGAGCAACAGGCAAAACTTCTCATTCAGGCTGACAAATGTGGCCATCCGAGTCATGGCATGAATAGATTAGGTAAGTTCTTAAAGCAGAAGAGCCATAACACTGAGTGTTAGATTCTGTGACAAACTTTCTTGTGACGAAATTATGCCTTGCATAGCAAAACTGTACTCGGACACTTATTGTCAACTTAAAAAACATTTGTATGTAAACATTTGTATTTTATATTATATTTTGTGTGTAAAAACATTTGTAGTATCTATATTTATTTTAGTACGTATTTTACTTAGTTCGGGATCAAGTTTTTAAAAGCCAGTTTAAAAAAAGATCTCAATCGTGTAAGTAAATATACGTATATATATTCCAATCGTTCGATTACTCCACAATTTCAAAACGTGGTCTACAACATCTTACACTTCGTCCTAATTTATTTCAGGTAGCAAATACGAGTAAGTGACAAATACTCACTAAATCAGTTTACTCACATGATTGAGGTCAGATTATAAAAAAGTTATATACTTCTTACAAAAAGTACTCATGTCACAAACAAACGCTTAAATCTTTGTAGCAAAATTCTACATGAATGTCTGACCGGCTAGAAATAATTTCGTTTTTTTTTTTCCATTCGTACTGATAAACTTTAAAATAACTCATTCGGCTTAATCATATTGTGTACGAGTAGAATACTTACGATATGTTCATGATGTTTGTTTACAGAATTTTACGTAAATGACATTATAAGTGGTGCTTGTGAGCCCAACAATAAGCCCGAAGTCCTGAAGGAGACGGCATCCACTGCGTGGATTGACGCAAAGAATGTCCTCGGCGCCACCTCCAGCCACTTCGCAATGGATATAGCTATGGCCAAGGCACGAGAAACAGGTGTCGCGTGGGTAGTTGTCAAAGGTAGTTATTAACAAAAGTAATTGGATTAAAATCTCGAAAGCAAAAATTAAGAATACAAAGTGTATGTAAATTGTAATTACTGCAAAAAAAATACTATTACTAAATAATGTCAAAAATATACTTATTTTTGACATTATTTAGTAAGGTATCTGTAGGTTGCCAAAGTCTTAAAATAGTTCACTAAAACTGAGCGAATATTTCCAGAAAAAAATCCTTTTTTTCCTAAAACTTTTATACTTCTTTTGGCTATTTTGCAATAATGATTCGAATGTTACTGCTGCACTGTTTATGTAAAAAATGTTAATGTAGTATTTTTTCAATGTTTCAGGAGCAAATCACAACGGTATGGCTGGTTATTGGGCTCAAAAGGCTACTGACCAAGGATTCATTGGCATGGCATTCACAAACACTTCTCCTTTATGTGCACCAACAAGGAGCAAACAGGTAAAATAGGTCGATTCCCATTCACTTTTGACTGCCTCAGGGCAAATAATTGTGTGATGAGCACGATCATTTCGTCCATCTGTCTGGATGTAATTCATTTATAATATGTATGTATTTAGTAATAAATAAGTATGCTCATTAGCAATCTGGTTACTGAAGAAGATACCGAACAAGAAAATGAACAGGTAATCAGAGCCTGTGGCAGTCCTTTATTTGGAATCCTTTATTTAGAGTATTTGAGATGTTTATGTTAAAATAGTTATTAACATCCACAAAATAAAGGTATAATAAACAAAGCCTTCCAAAAAATGAAATTTTGACTCTTTTATATGTATTTTAATAACTCCTCAATGATAGTCATTGTTATTTCCAGGCGGCGCTAGGCACCAACCCCTTAGCGTGTTCCGCTCCAGCGGCATCTGGCGAATCTTTCTACTTAGATATGGCTACTTCTGCTGTTGCCGTTGGTAAGGTAAGGCCTACTGCCTAAGCAATATAAAACATTAAGAAAAAGACTATAGTGGAGTCGTAAAGATATTTGAATGATTTTTGTACTTTCAGATAGAAATGCAGCTACGAAAAGGTGAACCCATACCAGCCGGTTGGGCGCAAGGACCTGATGGCAACGAGACTCTAGACGCCCAAGTGGTTAGTTTTATCTCAGAAATGATTCTTTAAGGGGGTGAAAAGGGGGGTGGAAATTTGTATCTGGAATTAATAACCATTGAACCGATTCAGATGAAATTTGGTATTACGATGGTTTGATTCTTGATATCCTTTATTTAGACTTTACCGCGATAACAGACCTAAACTTAGTACTATTTAATGATAAATAATACTCTTGCTCCTTTGATGACGGATGTGTTTTTATACGCTAAAGTATGGTATTATTACTAATTTATTTTACAGGCTTTCGATACGAAGTGTGTGTACCCGCTTGGTGGTCGCGAGTTGACTTCAGGATACAAGGGGTATGGACTAGGTGCTATGGTGGAGCTGTTTTGTGGAGTACTTGGAGGTACTTAAAACTAGATGTTTTTATAGATATATAAACATACCTTTAGCGTAGCGTGACTATCGTAATTGTCGTCATTTGATTTTTTTATGTACAAAAGGTACTCTTTCCTTTATTGTATCCCTTGGAACGTGCACCAAAATTTTATGGTTTTCAGATGAAAGGTACCGTAGTGCATAAAAAACGGGCAAATACCGTTGTACACAATAAACAGTACAGTTACAGTACAGTACAGTACAGTAGGATATGTACATGTACCATTCTTTTTCATTCTTTCAAGGTCCTCTTGAAGGCATAAAACCTACGAGAATGTACATATATTGTTTCACAGTTCTTTGCATCTCAGAGAACTGCTCTGATAGGAGAACACTTTGAACCTTCAAACAATCATTTTAATAATCTATCTCTAAAAGTACTTTAAAAGGTTTTCACATCACATCATAAAGGTCAAATACTCCTTTTCATACCTTTTACCAAACCTTTAATTTGCAAATTAAGTCGAATATTAGTAGTAGTATTTGTTGACATTTAAAGAGCATTTACCCCACAAGCTACCGGTATTCGTAAAACTAGACATAAAAACTAACAATCGATTTTATGTTCTGTAGGTTCTAAGTATGGGCATCATATCAGATCGTGGTCTCACACAAGTGACGGTACTCCAGCTGACCTCGGACAGTGCTTCGTTGCTATTGACCCTAATTGCTTCGCACCTGGTTATGCTGACCGCCTCACAGACTGCATCCAACATTGGAGGAATTTGGAGACGGTACGATGGACAATTGGCTTTATACTTTTCCTTTTAAGTTCGATTTAAAAGTCGGATATAGGATGCCTGTATCGACCATAATTATTAGCGAACACACATAATTTCCTATCAATCCGCAAGTGCCATCTGCTGGCTTGTCTGGCTCTCAACGCTTTACGAGTAGGCATGCAACACCACCTTTTTTTTTTTTTTCCGTTCGGAAATACCCTCACATACCACCTGTCGGTGGCATGTCGGACTCGAACCGACTAAAACCGCACGCCGTCTCGGGTACTATGCAACACCACCTGAATACAGTCTTATTGTAAACAACAAAAATCCGGACAAGTGCATGTCGGACTCGTCAACCGACGCGATAGTTCCGTACAAACTAGGTGCTACATATTACTCGTATAAATAGTTCGGGAATCCAGACTCGCCGTTTTTTTGGAGCTGTGCCCGGAATTCAGTTGCCAAAATCTATAATTACATATATTATTGTGTTTTATAAGTGAAATTGTACCTCGATAAATGATTACTTACTTTAAAAAAAGTCTATATTTTTTTCTGATTTAATAACAAATGTATAGTTTGCAATTATTTGCCTGTACTTCTTGTATAAGACAATATTACTTGCCAAATTTCACATTTCTAGGTCAACGGGAAGTACGCTATAAATTTTAATTCCCTTGAGTGTTGAAAATATGCATTTTTTGCGACATAAACGGCCTTATCTTCTTTTTTGTTAACTTAGGAGTTTGATTATTTTACAGCTTAAAGGGAGACCTGAGTATATTTTTTTAATTTTAACTCGATACCTCAACGCATTCCCGAGATAAAAAGACAAACAGGCAGACGCACAACAAATTCATTCTATAATAAGGCTTTCCATTCGAGGTATGGAACCCTAAAATCGGCATTAACTACACAGTAGGTATACAGATACACACTAATAGACTATGTGTACGGGTTTCAACCCATATAGCCAGTAGATATAGCAGTAGGTTTTTTTTGTTGACGTGGCGGAAAGTCCTTTCGGATCGTCCTGTGGAACACATCCGCCAGGAGTATGCGGTGGTTCCACTAATCACCCTGACGGCCGGCGCCTTAATCTAAGAGGACCCGGACCATGTGATTTCCGGTCCTCACTGAATGGACACCTAACCAAGCCCTGTCCCGGGTAAAGCTGCAAACTTCGTCCTCTCAATCGCGGCGTGGTGGCCCGATCGTGTTTCTAAGGAGAAGCCTTTGTAATAACGGCTGTTAATAATGATGATACAATTTTCTACATAAATACAATAATAATAGTTTCATTTATTTTAACAAATGTTTTTTTTTGGTCAATATATTGTATTAACCGTCAAGATTGATTATCGTCATAAGATTCACTTTTTCTAGGTTAGATAGCATTTGTTTTATTATGACTTAACAAGCTGATAAGCTGGAAAAAGTTGAAGCAAAGCGTCTCGAACTACGAATATATTTTTTTCCAAAATAAGAGGCCGGATATAAATAACAAAACAGCAGTGAATCATCAGAACAATCACTTTTTAAAAAAGCTTATGTGCCGGTGTAAAAATGTGTTTCTCCTTTTGCAGTTGGATCCAAATTTGCCAGTTTTGGCTCCCGGTGACAAAGAAAAGGCGGCAGTTCTAAAATCGGATCAAAGCGGCACAGTGTCTTTCGTCCAACAACAAATCGATTCCTGCCTTGCTCTTGCAAAAAGACTCAAAGTTAAACCTATTGAATGTCTACAGGAATAGTTCTTAAGTAAAATATATGTCAATAAATATATTTTTAATTTATCTATAATTCTTTCTTAATATTTATTTCTTGCGAATTTTATTAGGTCTAGCCACGGATCTAAGATTTTTTCGAACCGGGGCAGAAACGTCTCTCCAGCGTTTGAGCTAAATTACTTAAATAACTCACAAATGTAAAAGTTCACTTGTAGTGTGGGTCTGAGTGACACCTTTGCTTACAAATCGACTGTGAACCAACCAGGCTTCCTTATGCCAGGAGATGGCCTCACCTGTCACCCCCAGGCCTGCGCTTATGGAGGACGGAGGTCGTTCTGCGACCTCCGGCGCCTGAGTCGCCTGCGGTACCTGGCCCGTTCCCGGGCCTGGCGGGCCGGGAGAGTCCTAAACCTCTCCCGGTCTCGCTCCGCCGTCTCCTTCGCGAGCATAATCCGCTGTCTCCTTCGCACGATAGCCGCAATCAGGCTATCGAGCGAGAGAACTCCCACTCCGATGGCCGCCACGAGGTCTCGCCTCTGCTCAACCCACGCCGGGCACTCTGTCAGCGTGTGGAGAGCCGTGTCCACGGTCTGGCCAACGCGAGTGCCACCACTGCGATGAGCATTACCGATAAACTGAAGACATTTCTTGAAACATCACTCTTGGTGTTTTCCTTTTTTTACAAAGAATTTTACTACGATGAAAGTTATCTGAAATGCAGGATTTAGATATAATGAACATAATAAGACAAAACCCTAGATGCTAATTAGATGTCACACAACTAGTAACCTCAGATTAAGTAGAGTTCATGCGTCCCTTGTATATATATATATGTATCCAAAACATGATAATAAATCTTCGGTTTTATTTAATGTGGTTGCAATCCATTTGGGGGTGCTTACCATACTCACCGCTTGGCAAGATTGGCAGGCGGATTCATAATCGCAAGGGCGAGAATCATTTATCTTTTGACTTTTCTGCCCTTCATCAGTGTCGAAAGTAGGTTGCAAGAGTCTCGTCTGTTGTTCGGCAGGGTGCACCGAGTGCAGGTGAGGTGACGTTACGATGTCTAAGATAGGTGGGTGCCCCCGCTTAAACTTCACGGATGAGCACTGCCCAAGACTGGGACGAAAATAAACAACTGAAATCGTTGGTCCACGACCTTTCAGCGCGAGTTAATATTATAGAGTTGTAAATGATAGAATTTAATATCGAAATCAAGCGAGTATCCGAGCATAAGTCGGAAATATTAAAAAACACAATGGTGTAACTGTCGAAGGTAATTGAAAGCCTTTTGACTTGTGACGACATTTAATGTGTGACATGGGTAGCCAAGCTGTCACCGAATAACGATGGGCCTCGAGCTATTGTGGCTAAACGACGCACTCCACGTCTACGTGATACAATCCTAGCTGCAGTTTCCAAGTTCAATAAAGCACATGGCGACGATAAATTGTCATCTCAACATTTTAGAATTGGTTTGCATCGAGTTCCGATATTTGAGGCAGAGAACCTGACACTGACTGCTAAGAAACTTCATTCCGCAGCAAGGGTAAAGGCTAAAGGGCTTAACTACAGATATGTCTGGTCATATTGGCCATACTGTAACCAGACATATCACATATCTACTTACATAAAAATGAAGAGAGCAACCAAATGCATTAACTGTTATTTGGCTGTTTGGAATATTGTATAAGTGGATTATTTTTATTTAAAATACTTGATATTTACTATCAAAACGTTCAAGGCCAAAGAACAAAAACAAATGATGTCCTAAAAAACATACTAAATGCTAATTATAACGTCATTGATTTTACAGAAACATGATCTTGATCTCTAATATTTCTATTAATGAATTAATTGATACGAGTATATGGTGTATTGGCGAGACCGCATATACTCTAAAAGTACGAAAATGGATGGCGGAGGGCTAATGATTCACTTACGGACTAAGTGCTCTCGCAAAATACCCTTATTTAGGATTACAAACTTTGAAACAGACGTTGAAAGTTTATGGGTTTTCATTGCATTTAAATAGCAAACATTATATCATAAAAGTTACCATTTGTATAGCTTATTACCTCCCCCGGTTTAGACACAATGTTTGTCACTTTTATTATCTATCATTGATTCAGAACTACCCCATACTGATGATTTTCTACTTGTAGGAGACTTTAACTTACCTTTCATAAAATGGAACATTCAACATAATCACAATAACTTATACCTACCATCTAACTATAAAAATTGTCTAGGTAATTTGTTAATTGATTTTTGTACCACAAACTAGTTGCATTAATTTAACCCAATTAGTAATAGTGATAATCGGTATTTAGATTTTTAGGTAAATTTGTGAGTTTGAATTTTTTTGCAAGTTTAATTTAAATTTGAAAAAATGTTCAGTTTTTACATTTTTTTGTGTTAGAGGGGGCAGACGAGCAGACGAACGAACGTCTGGAACTCAGAAGTCACAAACGCTCTACCGGCCTTTTAGGAAAGAGAACGCTCTTTTCTTGAAGGCTTGAAGGTCGTATCGGTCCGGAAATACCACTGATGATAACCCGTTCCACAGATTGGTTGTATATGGGAAAAAGTGTCTGGAAAAGCGCACAGTAGTGGAGCGCCAACTATCCAGGTGATGAGGATGAAGTTTTTTATGATTTATATGGTACTAGCTCACCCTGCAAACGTTGTTTTGCTATTTACATTATTCTTTTTTTTTTAGTTTCGTAAAATCCGTTCTTAGCTGACCTCTACTCGGTGACAAGAATATTCCTACCAAATTTCAAATCTTTAGCTCTAATGGTTCCAGAGATATCGTGATGAGTGACTATATACGTGGAAATATACATATAGATTAGTCCGAACAATTCCTCGGAGCACTCGCCATGATTTATGCGATAGAGAATAATATTTAATAATAATAATAATAATATTTTTCACACACATCTCACACACGGCGGTCTGATCCCAAACTAGGCAGAGCCTGTACTATGGTAACCAGACTGCTGATAAACATACATATATATTTTTAAATACATACATATTATAGATAAAGTACACCCAGACGCAGAACAAATGACCGTGCTCATCACACAATTATTTGTTCTCCTCTGGCGTAGCGGTCAGGGTCACTAACCACTAGCCCAACAGGCTAGTCAAAAAAGAATAGAATAGAATAGAATGCAGAGTGAAGCCACATCTCTACGTAACGCCAAGGGATCGAGCCGATCGGAGATGTTTGGGCTATCGACGATTCGAGTCGCTCTTCGTTGGATGCGGTCCAGAGGGAGAAGCTGGTACTGAGGTGCCCCTGTATAGAGATGAGAACATTATTCCATATTCAGCCGGACTTGCACCTTATAGAGCTGAAGGCGGTGGGCCGGAGTGAAATACTGCCTCGATCTGTTCAGCACACCGAGCTTCTTCGAGGCCAATTTGACCTTACCCTCCCCCTAGTGACCCCGAAACTGGACTTCGCTCGATACGTCGATGCCTAGGCTTCCGATGCTGGCTGAGTAAGTTAGGGAAGTGCTCTCAAACCGAGGTGATACGACAAATGGTGTCTTCTTTGAGGTGAACGCACAGACCTGTGTCTTTTTTGGGCTGAACTGGACTAGATTTGAAACTGCCGGTAAGGAAGTTTCATTTACGTTAAAATGTTCTTTACAATAAAATGAACTGTTATTTGACAATTTAAAAGTATCACTTTTCGTGATGTCACATTACATTCTTCATACGTTCTCATCATGCATCTCACGAAATATAAAGAAATCTTCTGGAGCATTTTTTATTGTATATTTGGACACAGGTACAATGCAGTTCTTATAAAAGGTTGCTTGGTATTTTCCATGCATTAAAATATTCATTATTTATTTTATTTTACTATTTATTTATACTATTATTTTATCTTTATTCTCGTTGCATCAAACGTTCGTCATTTTATCGTTAACGTCATGACATCACCACAAAGCATGGGCCCACCCAGCATTTACTTAGGGATGGAGCAAAATCAAGAAAACTAGATAAATGTTTGGAATTGAATATACTGTTTACTTCTAAGCTTATTTCAGTGACCTGCGAGGATTTGCAAAACCTGTTTAAAATATTGTGCTTCCAGAATCCTCTATGCACACTCACCATACAGAGGCTAACTAGCCGGTTTTGTTATTGTCGATAGTAAACAAGTTTCAACTCTGCGTAAAGAACTAAAAGACCTTTTTTTGGTTCCTACTGGATACTTCTTTTTCTTTTAAAAAAAATGACCAAAACGCATCAAGTTGGTGCATTTTTAAAAAATTTCATTGGTCTATGCCAAAACTCCGATACGTTATTGGTTCGGTGCCTTTCTCCGGAGACACTGAGAAATTTAACAATATGATTGTACAGCCAAATATGTTGCAAGTAATTTAAAAATTTTGGAATTTAATGTCATTTGTGCTATACCAGCATTAAACATACGTTTCCAAGGCACGATCAGACGGTAATAATAAACAATACACAAAAAATAATACACGGTAACACAAATATTATTAAATACACGGTAATAATAATATACACAGGTACATGAAACAGAGACAAAGAACGCCCCCGATAAAGGGAATAACTTTTTCGTCTGAACGTATTTACGTCTTTTCGAACGAGATAATCTAATCTTTCAGTCTGATTTAGATAAGTAATAATAATAATAATAATAATAATTTATTGACATTTAAGTTGGTACACATATGATTGAGAATCCCCTGGCTCCTGCGCTAGTTTAAACTGTGTTGCAGGAGACAGTGTTTTCCGCACGTAATATAAAGAACTCTATGTCAACTCTAAGTCTTTTTGTGAAGAATATATAATATATACATGTTAAAAACATCATGCTACGGCATTTAGGGGCGGACAGTAACAGTAATAATGCACTTGAAACTGTGGGCAACGGTAAGGAGCTAAAAGAAATATTTAAAAAATCGGTTTATCTGCTAGTCTTAGTAAAGTATTACTAAGACTAGCAGATTTACCAATTTCGGTCACAATAAGATGTAGGTAATCACATTTCAGTCAACGTTGGATGTTTAATACTGTATTACGAAAATTACCTTTTATGACATTTGTGGGATCGAGAGTAGATCGGTATTCAACTTTGAACTATTATTATTTCGAGAATTGACCTTTTATAAGTATTTACATACCTGATATAATGTATTACAACAATATTCTACTCGTATATATGGGTGACAATAATATCCTGATAATATATCCATGTGTCTTTTTTTTATTGTTATCTATACAAATAATTAAAATTGGAGTGTCTGTTTGTAATATTAAAATAACCGCTTTTTAATAAATGCATATGTATGTAAAATAACATTTTTTACAATTTTTGTCTGTCTGTCTGTCTGTTTGTTCTGGGTAATCTCTGGAACGGCTTTACCGATTTCGACGGGACTTTCACTGGCAGATAGCTGATGACATAAGGAGTAACTTAGGCTACTTTTTTTAGTCTAGCTTCGCCCCGCGGCGTTGCCCGCGGTTATAAAAACAAACGCGGGTCTCAGGTAGTATATAATAAAATAAAGATTAAGCAATTAGATAGAACGCGGTGCGGTGGCAGGGGTAGTCGATCGTCGACCTGACGTGGTCGTGACCAGGGGTCAGGATGGAGGGTGGCGGAGGAGGATGCCACGGGTCAAGCATGGGGGTGAGAGAGGTTCTCTGTACTGGTGGACACCCCGGGCCTTGAAGGGATCCCGGGCCGAGCATGGGTGTGCGCTTTGGTGGTCCTAGGGAATAGGCTAAGGCGGCTGTTTAACAGCTGCCTCCATAATAGCGTATTCCGCCACAGATTCTCCCTCGGCATTCCGACCGATATGCCTGTTGGACGAGGTGGCGAAACTCTTTGAAAGAGTTATCGCCGCCCGTATCAACCAGCACTAACCAACCAATTAGGCTTCCGACAGGGACGCTCGACGCTGGACGCGATTGCACGCGTCCGCTCCTTGTCGGAAGAGGTTGTCTGTCGGGGGGGAGTGGCGTTGGCCGTCAGTCTTGACAATGTCAACGCCTTTAACTCTCTTCCACCCCGTCAACAAAAAAAAAAAAGGTTAGATAGAACAGCCATAGGACCACGGAACACGGAAATATAAACCATACAAACAATATTATAACTGCAAAAATGTGTCGGTCTATCTGTCTGCCTTTTACCTCTTCACACTTAAACCACTAAACCGATTTGGATTTGGTATAGATATAGTTTGAGTCCTGAGAAAGGACAAAGGATATAGTTTTATTCTAGAAATCATTCTTTAAGGAAGTTAAAAGAGGGTGGAAGCTTGTATGTGGAATCAATAACCGCTGAACCAATTCAGATGAAATTTGGTATGTAGATAGTTTGGTTTTTGAAAAAGAACATAGGCTACTTTATATCGCAATTACCGACATATACGCTGGCGCACCCGCGGGGAAAACCTAGTAAGCCATATAACTATTTTCACCACGGCAACGGTCGGATTTGGTTTACTGCCACTAATTTACTTATTTATATCCACACTGCTATATGTATTTGTACACTCATCTGTAAACAGTTTCATATGAATAATTTGACTGCACGGATGGCGTAGTGGTTTAAGCGGTCGCCACGCCGCTTCCTACTACGCCAAGTGTTGTGGGTTCAAACCCCACATAGGACGACACTTTGTGTGATCTACAAATTGTTGTTCTGAGTCTGGGTGTTGTTTGTGTCCGTTTCATGTATGTTTGTAAAGCCCCCCGCGACACAAGATATATTCCTAATGCGGGAGTTGTCTTTTTAAAAACAAGAAAAAAAAATAGCATAAATTAATATTACACATTATTTAATATGGATCTATAAAGATTATGTAAACATCCAAGATATTCAAATAGATACGATGGTATTTATTTGTACTTGCTAACGTTATGTTTAGTTATTGTGATCTGCGCAGGCGCGAGTGCTTGTGGTTCTTGTATCAAATATATTGTTTGTCGACTTTATTCTTTTTAATATTTTTGGAGACAAGTGTAGAATATAACTTATTTTCCGATGGAGGCGGACAAGTAAGTACAATTAGTTCTTAAAAAAAAGATTTTTCTTAATTCAAGCCTTGTTTTTATCTTATGTGTATTTCAATATTTTACCAAGCTTTTTTTTCGTAACTGACATTCACACTAATAATAATTGTTTGTCAATTATACGATACAAATTCAAAGAAGAAAAAAAGGATCTATATCCACTACTATTTCAGTCAGTCTCTGGTATATGGTTTTGTTAGGTGCGGAAATAAAAACGAAAATCTATTTGATAAAAATGACCTTTATTTTATTTATCATTCAATCTTCACATTGCAGAGTTCGTTATTTCATAACAATAAAAACATAAACTTACCAAACATCTCAAATTTACATTACAATTTACATTGATGTGACGTCCACTTTTCTGGGTTTAGGTGCTTTTAAGAAATGCCTTAATAGGCTAATTATAAAGGTATTAGGAATATTGATAAGGCAATAGAGTCTTCCTCTTGACTTTTAATTTGAACACCCATAGACAGACAATAGTAAATTAAATAAAAATAATAAGATAAAATATTAGAGGAATGATGGGCAGAGACTTAGAGATGAAATTGTTCACTAACTACAATGCGATTGATATATTTTGAAATTACTGAACATTGGCTGAAACGGGATCAGTTCATGATCAAATTTTAATCACCATCAGGAAGGCAGCTCGTTCAGCAGAGATATAGCAATACATCGTGGCTCTATCATACTCATAAATAAGAAACTTAAGTTTAAAGAGCACCATAACTTTGTTGGTTTATGTAAGATAACAACTTACTGAGTCCTCGTTAGTCAGGATTTCGACCGGGCCATAGCACGGTTACTGCTCTGTCTAAAGTGACTGCGATATTAAGGTGGCGATGGAGCATGCTAAGGTTACAACCTTAGTACAGGTTGATTTCTCCAACGCCTACAATAGAAGGAAAAATCAACCAGTACTAAGTTAGTACTAATTGGAGTTATCAACCGTCAGTCATGAACTCCTCTATGCTGTCCTATCCCATTTCTCGGTCTCTCAAGAAGCACTGGACTAGTTCTCCTCTTACCTTAGGAATCGTCAGCAGTCAGTCAGGATGAAAGATTCTTCCCCTGGCTGGTGCGGTCTTTCTGCTGGCGTCCCTCAAGGCGGTATTCTTTCACCTCTTCTATTTTCCATCGTCATTAGCCTCATCACCCTAAGACTTCAGTGATCCTAGCATTTCTATGCTGATGACTTGTAGTTATGCTATCAAACTGAGTCCGGGGTCTCGATCGTAAATAGTGACCTGGCGCCCATTAAACGTTGATCAGACATGTTTAGCATATCATATATTACTTAGTTATTACAAGTAATATGTCCGATCCCCACATGGGACGACACTTTGTGTGAACCACAAATTGTCGTTTTGAGTCTGGGTGTTCTTTGTGTCCGTTTCATATATGTTTGTAAAGTCCCCCGCGACACAGGATATATTCTTAATGCGGGAGCTGTCTTTTAAAAAAAATTTGTTTCTAGCAAAAGCATCTTTACGTGAAGCAAAGAGATCTACCTACATGAAATTCCTTACTGCACTTAGGTATAGAGCCGATGACTGAAGATGTAGAAATGTATGGTTACCTATAATTATTATAATCAATCATCAACAGCATTTAACACTTCACTGCTGGAAATAGGCCTCTCCTTAGAAAGGTGGCACTATACCACACTGTTGCAAGCTTTCCTTTCTCTTTGCAGTGCTGATGTTCTGCGTAGTTAGCTCTCTTAGTCGGGTCTTACGTCACTCATGCCACGGGATGAATGGGGGTGATGAGTGGGGGAACATTCCGCATTCTTAAGCCACCACATGTAAAGTAAATATAACTTTGTATAATTACGAGTATTACAGTAATTGAATTACAAAGAATAACGTAATATAAAATTATTCCAGAGCAAGTGGGACACTGTGCTATTCAATTTAATAAATATTTAACTTTTTTAACCGTATAAACGTATAACCGACTTCGATGCGCCTACATTATGATGAATTGTAACTAACAAACTATATTCTTAATTTCTTAATTTTCGTCTCTTATTGGTGATATTTTTTCTTCAAATTGAAATGGAACCTAATAGGTGGTATACTCTTCGAAATATTAAACGAATTTTCCAAATCGATTCATGAATGAGTTCTGGGTTAATGTACAAAAAACAACAGAATTGAGAACTCCACCTTTGTCTTGAAGTTAGTTAAAAATATCGGGGCATCATTTTTACAAGCTTTTAGTTTTGAAAAAAACATATTTCTTTGAAAAAAATATGTAAAAACATAACATGCGGCTTGTAAATATTGTGATTCCCAATCATTAAATCTATATATACAAATAGTATAAAGCTGAAGGGTTTTTTGGTTGAACGCGTTAGTCTCAGGCTGGTTCTTATTTTAGTGGATAGCCCATTTATCGAGGAAGGCCATTTAACATCAAACTACTACCAATAGGAGCCGAGCATTGATGAAAAATACAAAAACGGAGAAAATTTACTCCCCTCCAGAGAGGCAGGTGAAGTCGCGCAACTTCACCAGCCAGGCCACCCAGTGCAAAATATAATTACCAGATGATTAATAATGTAATAATAAAAAAGTTTTATTGATATAGCCATTGCTACAATACATAAGGAACCCGACTCCTTTGGTAGGTTACCTACTACCTGTGTTACAGGAAACAGTGTCTTTACCCATTTTGCTGTATCAACTATACATTAAAAAAATACAGTTAAGAGTGTGTATGTGTGTGTGTGTGTGTGTGTGTGTGTGTGTGTGTGTGTGTATTTGCTCGTGTGTGTATGTTGTGTGTCGTCGTGCTCATTATACCAAGTTTTCGGTTTATGTGTAGTCGAGCGTTAGTAGCAATGATTTTATTTTAATTTTGTTTAAGGATTAATTTAGTTCAGTTCTACATTTTAAAGGTTTCTAAACGTTGTTAATAGTAAGCTTATTTCTGTTTTAGTGATTAAACGGTGTAACTTTGTGTTGCATAATTGTTATATTGAGAACATAAAATTGTCTTCCTGTAAGTAGATCACACTTTTCATAGAGTAACTTTGTTGGGAATCGGTTTGGTTCAAAAGTCGCAACCGTAAGTAGCGATCTTTGGACTAAATTGAGATTGTAAAGCAGCCATAGTCGTCTGGGTTGGCATTTAAGCAAAGGTCGAATGCAACTTTGTATTTCAATTAAGTATGTAAATATATTGTTTTATGTACAGCCTATTACACTACAAGTTTTGAAACCGGTCGTACTTTGAATAATAAGTGAGCATCGCATGTGTATTTTATATACGCCTTTAAATTCTTTTATAGATTCCTCAGAGATTCCATGCACACTTGACTTTATAAAATTGACAACGTAGGGTCGACGAGAACCGTAAATAAAACAGGAAGGGAACTTCAACATTCATACATATATTAACAATCAGGCCTCCTTCCATTGTGCGCATCTAAGCGGTGCGCTATTGTCTGTTCGGTCCATTCTTCCACGTCAGTGTATTTGATATATTTTATATCAAATTCTTAAAAATAAACGGTTAAAGTCAAAACTGTTGCAATAGAATATATTAATTAGTTCGATCTCAATGAACAATACAAAACCAAATATTTCCGTTCCGATATGGTTTAGAGAAATGTGTCTTCTGTCTGTGTGTGTTCTGTTATTTCATAATGTCCTAGTATCATTACTAGCCATTCAACTTTAAAATGAAGCCAACTTTACCCAAACCCCTTTCCTCACTTAAATTTATATTTCATAATAACACACTTTTGAATCTCGTCTACACAATTTTAAAAGTTTGAAAAAATATATTTACCTACGCATAATACAAAAACGAGTTCTTGTCCTCACGTGACACAATATGTAGAAGTATTTACGTTACTCAGAATGTAGGTATAGGTTATATAAATATATTAATTATATATTTTTGAGAGCTTTGTATTTTGCTACCTTATCGTGGAACGAAATATTCGTGATGTGTATAGCCTTGATGAACACGTGAATTTACAGCACAATTAACCAATTAATGCCAACAAAATTAGGTATAATCAATAGGCGCATAAAAGGCGTATAAAATTAGGTATACAAATATATTCAACTCCTACCAGTAATGTGTATTATATAATCCAGTTGTGGGAACCGAGGCATGTTTTAAAGGACACGCAATGGACCGCGTTTACATAACTCAGACATTGCGACCTAAAAAAATGAACCACACCAATTACTGTATTCAGTTGGCGTGTTTTGCCAATGATATGTAAATTAATTAATCCCTTGAATTTTTACTTTTTCGTTTATGTTTAAATATTTAGGCCAGATATGCTTCTTATCTACTGATACGTAAAATAATCTTTTAACCTTTTATAGTTCAGGCGTGTGTGGTAAAAGATAAGCAGTATATGCTCAGGCTGATCAGTAAATGGTTGGGTCGTCGTGTATAAACAGGCAAAGTGCGTGTTCAAGTTAGACTATATTCAGAAGATGAGCGTTGGTCGTGTGTCGAACGAGCGTAATTTTATACTGCAGTCTTCTCATGGCAACGCTTCTCTGGCATTGAATTCCCGAATTACCCAACTTCCAAATCGGATCTATTCCTTGTAATCGAGTTTTTTTAAGTCATACAAAGACCTATTTCTATCCGTCGGGTCCATAACGTGATAGATGAGGGCAACACATGCGACTTCAACAGCGCCTGGCACTTGCGATCCAGTAGTAGGTTTAGGGAGTACTCCTTGCGACGAGTCAGCGCTCACCATTGTTTGCTGTGTTAATAGTTTGTGTGAAATGTATGAAATAAAGCACGCATGAATCAAAACGCGCGTAAACGAGTAAACTACTTAAAAAACTCATGTTTATGTTCACGCGTGCACTCAACGCCCGTCTACTGAATATAGTCATAACGTGTACTGATGACGAACAGCTTGCAATGTGTATCCGCCCTAAGATGTGTGTGATAGTATCAAAAAGATAAAAACGTGAATTGTAAAAAGTAAGAAAGTTTGTTTTCTACAGAGGCATGGCCCGAGTGGTTACAGAAGAAGCGTGTAGATTCATAGTTGACTGTCTGCACGCTGCAGGAGCTAACCAAGAAGTAGCAGTACAACAGGCAAAACTTCTCATCGAGGCAGAAAAATTAGGTCATCCTAGTCATGGCATGAATAGATTAGGTACGTATATGAAGCAGCAAAATATATAATATAATCGACTGAATGACAATGATTGATTTTGGTATCTTGGTCGAATAGTTAGTCAGAATTATTCTAAACCAGACCCCACCGTTCGCTACCGTCACATAGCCGTAATGTGAAAAATTTAGTGACTTGGGCAGTGAATAAATACGACAATCTCTATGCCCGATTTAAAACGGGCCGCTAAGGGGTATGTTGTTTAACTTGGGGTTTTAAAAAAATGTTAGCTTTTTGCATTTCTTAAGTTCTCTAAATACGATAGATATGCTTCCGTTTGCTTAAAAAGGCGAACAAATCATTTTTTCCGTGTATAAAACTGTATTTTATACACGGAAAAAATGAGATTTAGATTTAGAGATTTAGATTTGTGGCTATATTCTATATCTAATACATAATATTTCTTTCAGAATTTTATATTAACGACATTTTAAGTGGCGCTTGTGATCCCAACAACAAGCCGACAATCCTGAAGGAGACGGCCTCCACTGCGTGGATTGACGCCAAGAATGTCCTCGGCGCCACCTCCAGTCACTTCGCAATGGATACAGCTATGACCAAGGCACGACAAACTGGAGTCGCATGGGTTGTTGTTAAAGGTAAATTTGGTGTTAGTGTGTGTATGTGTGACGTCATTCATTCAATATTTGTTAAATGACAGTAAACAATCTTTAAACTGCCTAATAACATGTAAAATCGTACCACGTATTAAGAAACTGTAAATACTTGAGCTACCCTTACTTTTAATATAAATTCAAAAAGAGGTGAAAAACAACCTTCTAAAGATTTTTTCATTTTTATTAAAAGATAACTCCCTAATTTACCGACATACATGAAATGGACACAAAGAACAACTAAACTCAGAGCTGCAATTTGTGGATCCGACAAAGTGTCTTTCTATGTGGGGATCAAACCCACAATACTCAGCGCAGTTGGAAGCGGCGAGATGACCTCTTAAATCACTACGCCATCCGTGCAGTCAAAGTCAAAGTCTACATGGAACTAGAATAATATATCGTTTTTTATTGCGTAGGAGAGCAAACGGGTCACTCGATATTAAGTTCCCTAGAGGGGCAGTCTGGGGAGTGTTTCCAGACACAGGGACATGGGAATTTGGGCTCTGGTAACCTCAGGTCCTCGGTGAAAAGCAACGAACATAATTGCTTAACCCAGGTTTTCTGTGAGGTCGTGGTATCACGCCGGTCAAGACGGCTCATTTGTCCCAATAGATAGATGCATATGAGTGTGTGTATTAGAGTGTGAGTGAGTGTGTGCGTGTGTGTGTCAAGCAAACACCGTAACAGAGATGTTACCTTTTAATAATTTTTGAAGTGATAACTTCTTATGGGAGGGTAAACCGCTTCATTACGTAACGCGTTACGGCACCAGTCTGTTTGGCTTCCCTTTCTCTCACGCATACGGCAGCGGTAGGCAGGCTCCTCCACTCTCACTCTAACCCACAGCACTAGCTGTATTTCGGACAGACGCTTTACATAAAATTTAAGTAATAACCTAAGCTTTTCTCGAGTTTCAATATTAAATAGTTCAACTTAGATTAGTTTAAGTTATCACTTCTGTTGGGCGTCCTGAGACGCACACGTTTTTTAATTTAAATTCTTATTGAATTGCGTTAATAATGTCAAAAATTTATCAGAGCATTCAGTTGGGCTTAAATAGGTACCAGAAAGCTTCGAAGTTTTACACGAAGTTTGTAAAAAAGTATAATATAGTCAAATAGGTATATTCTAAAGATACCAAAAAGGTCACAATGATATTGCGTAACCTTCAATAATTTAAACAGCACATTGGATAATTCAGATTTATTTTCAGGAGCAAATCACTTTGGTATAGCTGGTTATTGGGCACAAAAGGCTGCTGACCAAGGACTTATCGGCATGTCATTCAGCAATACGTCACCTGTCTGTGCACCAACAAGGAGTAAAGAGGTTTAATAATAATAAAACTACTTTTATTAGTCCAGGATACAGACTGCAATAGTTGACTGACATAAACATAGAGACCCAAACCAAAGAAAATTATAACTATCATATACCTTTAAACGAGCAATTCTTTAATATAACATATAAATATAATCTGAATCTCGAAAACGGCTCCAACGATTTTCATGAAATTTAATATGCAGGGGGTTTCTGGGACGATTAATCGATTTAGCTAGGTTTAATTTTTAGAAAAAAGCTCGGTCATTCAGGTGCTATAATATTAATAGCCTCACACACGGCCATCTGATCCCAACCTAGAGCCTCTTTTATGGTAACCAGACTGCTGATATACTTACTTATATATTTCTAAATACATACATATTATAGATAAATGACATCCATACACAGAATAAATATGATCGTGCTCATCATACAATATTTGTCCTGAGTGGGAATCGAACCCACGACCTCCGGTTTAGCAGTCAGGGTCACTGACCACTAGACCAACAGGCCCGTCAATAATATTTTTACAGATTTTATATTTTGCATTACATGGCAATCGAACCTTATATCCTTAACTATTATTATCAAATTATTTACGTGTGGTGAAGGATTAAGAATACACCACCCCAATACAAACCGTGGGTGTCGTAAGAGGCGACTAAGGGAACAAACTACGGAGGACAACAGCACCAAAGAGAAGGAAAACTTGAAACAAACCCTATACCAACCCGTCTGGCCAACGTGGTATAGTAGGCCAAAACCTCCTTTCCAAGGAGAGGCCTATGTCCAGCAGTGGACTATTATAGGCTGTTGATGATGATGATGGTGATGATGATTACGTTTTTGATCACTGTTTAAAAACTCATTTACAATTATTACCCCTATAAATTAATTATAGGGATAATAATTACTGAGATATTTTGTATAAACGTTATAAGAAGTAAAGCAAACAACGTAGGTTAATCTTTTTACTTAAACGAGGAATTGAAAATTTACTTCAGAAATCAGTCTAATAATTAACAAACCCGCTAACCCCGACCCCGTGCGGAAATCCCCTTGGATACCACCTGTCGGTGGCATGTCGGACTCGAACCGACTAAAACCGCACGCCGTCTCGGGTACTAATAGCCGGGGAACCAGGTATACCCTAGAAAGGAAGTCCCTGGTACCCCGACATACCTCGGGTCATCTACAGACGAGTAGACGACCCCCCTCGTGTGGGAACCCTATGTTCCCTGTGCTCCCTGAAAGCGAGCGCGCTTCGCAACGCGCTCGCCGCCACCCCGGCCTGCTTCTGCTAGGGTGACAGATGGCCTCACCTGTCACCCCCAGGCCTGGGCAACTACAACCCCTTAAAGTATTTAGGTCGACTTACCCAGTAACCCTGTATAATATCCGTTGACATTTCCAGGCGGCGTTGGGTACTAACCCGTTTTCGTGTGTCGCCCCAGGGTCATCTGGTGAATCTTTCTACCTCGATATGGCTACTACTGCTGTTGCTCTTGGAAAGGTAAACTCATGCATTAACAACAGTTGTTCACCTACGTGATAACTTTTATTTAGACCTAATTAAAACGTACCACATTTAAAACCGAACCACATGGCTCAATATCGAATATCTAACCTTTTCATAAAAATGAAGATAATAAGTTTTAAAGGAGGTTATGCACAGTAGGTACATTAAATTAAATACATATTTACTAATTACAGATTGCCGATTTTGGAAGTAAGTCTTACAAACAATAAACTTTTCAGTTATGTTTGCAGTATATCATACCAAGATTGACTGGGAGAAAATGCCTAAGGCATTAAGTAAGCTTCTTTACTGCAAGGGCATAAAATTTAAATGAATAAAAACCATTATGGGTTTGTTTGATAGTTCCAAAATAAAAACTGTAAAATTTTACATCCCTTTTTTTATGATATATGGGGCAAACGAGCAGCCGCGTCACCTGATGGAAAGTGACTACCATCGCCCATGAACGCCTGCACTCAGCGCGTCGAAAGATTGCGGATAGCTGCCAAACTAAAAATCTTATTTAAACCTTTTGCTTCACAAACTGCCCGGTTGATGACATATTTTTAACAAAATGATTTTTATTTAAATACTTAGTAGTCTGATAAAAGCTCAATTACTGCACACTTATTTACAATGTTTGATACTTACTTTATATTTCCTATGTACTCTTAGATAGAAATGCAGATACGTAAAGGTGAACCAATACCACCAGGATGGGCCCAAGGACCTGACGGCAACGAAACACGAGATGCACAATTGGTTAGTACTAGTAAATCCTTGGTATCAATCACTGACTGTGTAATCATCCGAGGATAACCCGCGAGTCGACAGCATACTGACCATACTGTCTTTAATCATAATTAAAGATTGAAAATACCTACTTAATTCAATAGATTTATTGATAGAAAGCCTAAAATAATATAAAAGAAGAAAAGATAATTACTTATAAAAATAATGACTTAAATGTTAGTTATCCGTGTGGTGACGGATTAAGAATCAAAATGTCACCACCTCTACTCTAAGGGGAGCTGACTAAGGGAGCAAATACGCACGACAACAACACTATTAATAGAAGGAAAACTTGACATAAACCAACCAGCGTGGTTTTAGTAAGCCAAAACCTCCTTTCTATGGAGAGGCCTATGCCCAACAGTGGACTAAGACTGTTGATGATGTGATGTGATGTGAAATATTACTTTACGGGTATTTTTGAAAAGTTGTCAACCTCAAGTAGATGCAGTCTAAGGAAAAGAGATAATTATAGGTCATGTCTACAAAAATAAAACCCAACTTAATGTAATTAACAAATGTTTAATTTACTTTAACTCCAGAAATTTTATTGAAAATATTAATAGAAATACTCTAAGGCTTTTAATCGAGACCGACGACCTTTTTACCAAAACAGATAAAACTACTTTTACAGGCTTTCGATACAAGGTGTTTGTATCCTCTTGGTGGTAGCGAGTTGACGTCAGGTTACAAGGGATACGGACTAGGCGCTATGGTCGAGCTATTTTGTGGAATACTTGGAGGTAATGTAAAGGGTTGTACGTGACGTGTGGTGACGGATTAAGGATACAGAGTGTCACCACCCCTAGTCATCCCGTGGGTGTCGTAAGAGCCGACTAAGGGAGAAAAGTATGCAGAATAACAGCACTGCACTGCAGAGAGAAGGAAAACTTGATACAAACCCTTTTTTTTTTTTTTTTTAACGTGTGGAAATCCCCTCGGACCGTCACCCCTCCGGGGTTTGCGGCGGGGTGGTGTGTCGGACTCTGACCGACTAAAACCACACGGTGTGCCACTCTGCGCCTGTAACAGGAGGGATCCGGGAACAGCTGTTGTTAAGACATCCGGACCCCTCCTAGCGCCAGCCCGCTCCTGGTGCGGGCTCCGTCTCAATATTGTTGTTTTCCTCTCTTTAGGCGACGTCCGGCACACGCGGACGCCGCCCCCTCGCGGCTGGCCAAACTAATGCGGGTGGAGGGGAAACCCACCCTGTCCACCCGCGGCCACACTCAGGGCGGCATGAGGCTGTGGTAGGCGGGCCTCCGCCGCCCGGTTCGCCGGCGGCGGATCGGGTCCGAGTGGAGGTCGTCCTCCCGGGCCCTCTCCGCCGCCTCCTTCCGCGAGATTACTACCTCGCAGAAGGTTGCGACCGCGGTAAAACAACTGTCGCTACCGGCCATGGAGCGTACTACGGCCGGTAGCGAGAGATCCACTCCGATGACTGCAGTGAGGGCCCGGCGCTGCGCCGCCCATGCGGGGCAGACCGCCAGCGTGTGCTGGGCCGAGTCCTCACTGCAGTCGCAGTGGTGGCAGGCGGGACTCAGTTCCCTCCTAGCGACCGTGTGCAGTTACTTTCCGAAGCAACCGTGCCCGGAAAGCACCTGCGTCAGTCGGAAGGAAAAGGGTCCCGTGCTGCCGCCCTGCCCACTCGGCGATGACCGGCTGGAGAGCCTCCACGGCGGCGAAGCCAGCGCGTGGAGTCTCCAGCCGGAACGACCAACGAGCCATCGTGGCTCGGCGAGCGGCTTCGCGCCACTCGCGCACATCCTCGGGCGGAGGGCGAAATCCGCTCTCCGCCCGGTAGTCAGCCACTCGCCGATAAAACTTCGGCGAGCACTTCCGCCTCCAAATCCCATGGGGGAGTTCCGGCCAACGCGCACGCCACCTCCGTCGAAACGGTGCGGTAACCGCGTATGGCTCTGACCGCCATTACCCTCTGAGGGCGCCAGAGGCGTACCCTATTCTGGGCGGTCAGAGCCGCCGCCCACACCGGTGCACCGTACAGTGCCATTGACCGGACAACCCCCGTGTACAGCCGTCTTGTCGCGACGCTGGGTCCACCCATATTGGGCAAAAGTCGCCCTAGGGCAGACGCAGCGCCGACCAGCTTTGGAGCAAGCTGTCGGAAGTGCTCGTCGAAGAGCCACCTCCCGTCGAGGATCAGGCCCAGATATTTCATCTGGGCCCGAACCGGTACGAGGACCGAGTTGACCACGATTGAGGCGCCAGGGGGTGGACCACGACGGGGCCCATGAAATAACAGGGCCTCCGTCTTATCTAGGGCCACCCGTAAGCCCAGCGCCTCAATGCGCCCGACCACCAGGGAGACTCCCCCTGTGGCCAGGCGCGCCGCCTCTTGGAAGTTTGCCCCCCGGGCTGTCACGAGGGTATCGTCTGCGTAACAGATTACACCCAGCCCGGGGGGGAAATCGTCGCGAAGGGCCCAGTCGTACCCTATGTTCCACAAGAGGGGTCCAAGAACAGACCCCTGTGGAACACCGCACGACATGGGCCGACTCCTCAAATTACCTTCTCGGTCCTCGTACACGACGGTACGCTCCTCTAAATAGTCTGCCACCAGCCGCCTCAGGTACTTTGGCACCCCATGATAGTGGAGTGCTTCCCTGATGCAGCTGAATGGCAGACTATTGAATGCGTTGGCGATGTCCAATGACACCGCCAACAGTACGCCGCCACAGCTCACGGCCTCTTCGGTCATGGCCCTCAGGCGCAACACAGCGTCGACTGTCGAACGCTCCGCCCGAAAACCAAATTGGGCGTCCGACAGATCGGGGCCCACCTCGCAGAGGTGCCGGACGATGCGGGCAGAAAGAACCCTCTCAAACAATTTGCCCGCCTCGTCCAGCAGCACGATGGGCCTATAGGCCGCGACCGAATCGGCAGGCCGTCCCGGCTTCCTCAATAGGACCAGCTTCCCGCTCTTCCAGCACTCAGGGAAGCGTCCCGACGCCAAGCTAGCGTCGAACACCTCCCCGAGGCGGTCTGCCAAGTGGTTGAGGGCCAGGGCCAGCACTCGGGCCGGTACCCCCGTCTGGCCCAGGGGCGGTGTTCTTGGAACGGATCCGTAGAACAGCCGCCCCTACCTCCGAATCCCGGACGGGCGGAACATTTTCCTCCCCGTGCTCCCCGTCGTCTCCGGCCAAGGAGGCCATCGCCGGGGGAGTGTGTTCCGCTCGTTGCGGGAAAAGGCCCTCAACCACTTCTCGCAGGAAGCTGGGCTGGAGAGTCTCCGTAAAGGGGGGGCCCGACGCGCGGAGCTTTTGTCGCATACAAACCCTATACCAACACGTCTGGCCAGCGTGATATAGTAGGCCAAAACCTCCTTTCTAAGGAGAGGCTTATGTCCAGCAGTGGACTATTAAAGGCTGTTGATGAATGTAAAGGGTTCTGACGGATTCAAAATAAGAATAATAAAAACAATACTTCTTCCTCCGCGCCTTTCTCCCAAACCAAGTTGAGATCGGCTTTAAGTCTACAACAATACGCCGGATATTCGATTTTCATCCGGGAACAATAAGGTAACGTGCTCTCTGAGGCACTGAGGGGTCTCAATGTGTTAAGACTCCATCTATAGACTGACCGGCTAGGATTGCTTAACTTTGCAATGTGTTAACCTTTTCGGTTACCACTTAGCCATGAGCCCTGGAGAAAGAACAGTTTGTATTAATTATATCGATTGCTAAGATTCACACAGGTTAAATTCATATCAAGATTTAACCGTGGCAGAGCAATCCTTCAGCACAAAAAGATTGACACAACCGCAGTGACATCAGGCCATGATGTCACTGCGGTTGTGTCAATCTTTGAAGCACTGAAAATCAATGCTAAGCACAATACTTGCGTTACATTTTACCGAGTTATTGTAGTTACCAGATGACCAGTTTCCCAAGATACTGGAGCACAAAAAAAACTTATTAATGCGATTTAAGCGGGAGTTACAAACATAGTACTTCACCTTTTGTTTAACGCTTTAATCAAATTCCACCGATTGTGGTCTAGTCTCGACTAATATTGGCAGGAGCAAAAACGTCAATATTTGTATCTCACTTAAAACATTCAGCATTCTTTGAGCAGGAGTGCTTCTACAATACAGGTAATCATCGAATACTAGAGTATTCTTACTTAACACAGTCACAAATTTATGAAGGTTGAAATGTCGAAAGCATAGAACAGTGAAAACCTCGATATCTGTTATTCGTGTTCTGAATTTATTACTAAAAAATTCAAAACGTTGCAAGTTCACCTGATTGCGAATATACGTACGTATTAGCAGATATTGCTACCACTTTATAGGAAATTGTAGCGTTAATATTCCGATATATTTTATCTCAGGTTCAAAATATGGGCACTACATAAGAGCTTGGTCTCATGAAAGTGACGGTACACCAGCTGACCTCGGCCACTGTTTCGTCGCTATTGACCCTAACTGCTTTGCGCCTGGATTTGGAGATCGTCTGACTGACCTCGTCCAACATTGGAGAAATTTGGAGCCGGTACGCATGATAATTCCTCTTTATATAGGCATCACACACAGGCGCAGTTACGAACAGAGACTGGAGTGTTTCAAAATGTACTCTCGCTATGAGTTGTACAATGGCGGGCTTAATGCCACAGGTATTTTCTCCCAGTCTATCTTAGGGTGTTGCTGAAATGTGTGGCTAGTTGCACTAGACATTGAAATGAAAAGTAAAAGAAAAGTATTGATAAGTTAAACAGAAACAATGCGATAAATATACATACATATGTACGTACCAAATACATACTCATACATAAATACTTACCTAGATACTTATCACCATAATCCAAGATGGGGACAATACATTAACCTACATATTAAAAATATATAAAACTTTTAGGTTATAATGAATCTGCTAGGGTGTCCAGAATGCAAGCTCGAACTTTCATCTTGAACGAATGCAGTTGTTCAGAAGGCGGTTACATTTATTGAGTAGATCTGCATTCAGGTCATAATAGCATACATCACCATAATCCAAGATTGGGACAATAAGGGGTCTGTACAAGCATCTCGGAGGCGAAGAAATTCTTAAGCTTGTTACTGTATACTGTTGGCGTGTCTTTAATAAATAATTAAATACAATAAAAATTTGTAACCTAAATATCGACTCTAATACAGACAAACAACATCGGTATTGCTGTAAACAAAAGCAGTCCCGACTCTAAGTACCACACTGTAATCTTTCCTTTACTTCACTTAAAGCTCAAGTTTGGTGGCACGTGTTTACTAGTCTCTTTATAATAACTTAGCCTTATTGTTAGTACGTTTTGTGCTCGGTTTATAGAAACCAGGACTTTGCAGTTGTAATAATGTAAGAATTCAAGCCTGATGGTGTTATGGCTTGTGTAACGGACTGCTACGCAAATGTCGCCGGTTCGATTCTCGCTCCGTCCAGGGAGACACAAAATCTTTGTACTTATATTCGCTTTGTATTTTCCAGATGGATCCAAATTTGCCAGTTTTAGCTCCCGGTGACAAAGAAAAATTAGCAGCAGCCAAATCTGATGAAACAGGCACGATATCCTTTGTACCACAACAAATCGAATCATGCCTTGTTCTAGCAAAGAAACTCAAAGTTAAACCCATGGAATGTTTATAAGATTAAATCCATTTGTTTTTAAATCGTTATTTTTTTCTAACCAGGTCCTTGAGTATTTTCCTTTCCTGAAGTCTACTTCTACTTAGATAGGCCTCGGTAAGGCAAGTCGAAAATTATTGTGTTTTATTTTTGAATAGTTAAAATGTAGATTAGATAGATAGAATATTTAGGAGGCAATAACGTTGAAATTCCTATTAATCACCGCCTACTGATGGCCTGTTGCCCTAGTGGTTGGCGACAATGTTAAGCCAAAAGTTCAATTCCCACCAAGTAGAAATTGTGTGATGAGCACGATCTGTTTTCTGTAATTGCAATTTATCTGCAATATACAGCGTGTCACCTATCTTTTAACGAATCTGTAAACAGCATATTCTGCACTCTATTTCTAGACGATTTGCAAAATATGAACCTAAAATATTCATTGGTTTAGAAACAGGACATTTTTTTGTTTTCGTAATTTGCAACATTATGTGTAAATGCAGTCATAAAACATTGACCTCAGGCGGCGATCAGTTGCCGCTTTTACTACACTCGAATCGAACGAAATATGTTGATTATTGCGTCATCAGGATGAAGGACACGCGTTTTTAATTATTTTATCCAGTAAGGACAGTCAGTCGGCCCTTGGCCACCGGCGAGTGTTATGCTATTCTGTATCCTTGTAGATGCGCTCACAACAAATTACCGTAATAATAATATTGTTGTTGTTCATGAGATATTTGTTTAGAAAGGTTTTCTTGTGTTAATAATTGTTTAGTCTTATTGCTTTCGTTATATTACTTCGTAATGTAACGAGTCCTGCTAATTTTATTTTGAAAAGTGACAATATTAGGTTATGTGTGTAGTGTAGTGTGAAACTGAGTGAATTATCAGTCTTTTAATTTTATTGGGTTATTGGTATCAACATCCATCTATAATGCCGTGAGTGACCTTCACAGCCGCGGAATATCCTGCCATGATGTTAATTTATGGGAAGCTCTATCAAAACGCATTTTTAGCTTTACGGATATGTATGGAGTCAATCGTGTATGTCCTACAGACTGCCGAATTTTTGTAAGGGCGGTACAAAGATTACGAGACAACCAAAGTACCTACTTTTTCAAGGAGGGACACTTACTGCCGAGTCCGAAGCTGGTCGAGCCTTCCCAAAATAAACACGTTAATAAAACCTTTTTTTTAATAAATAGATTTTAAAAAGCAAGTGAAGTAATCAGTAGGTAGGTAATAAGAATGTAAAGTTCGCCGGCTCGTCGCGGCGGCGGCGTCGCTTTGATGTCGCCGACATTGTGACGCTGCCGTTTACAGTTCACCGACTAATGTTATCAATGGTGTTCTAATTCGGCATTTATTTTATTTATTTTGTTCTAAAATTGCATTTCTGTATTTTCATACCAATTTTTTTTTTTGTACCAACGTATAATGAATCGTGTTATCTGTTATTTCATTTTTTGGGATATGTTTCATCACATAGTGTATATGTTCTCATGATGTTATGTTAACCCACAGTTTGATTACCATAGAACACTAAATTGTTGCCACGGCCTTTGCACGCACGTAACGGGTTTGCCATAAATTCGAATGAAACAGTAAAAGATCCCGCGATCGTAAGACTCTCGACATTCTATAAAAATTAAAAGCTTTTCTGTTTATATACCCAACAGAGGTAGGAACTGTTTCTGAGTATGAGGTCCGAGTAGCTTTGGCGTCTATGAGGCACAACAGGTGTTGAATATCGAGACTTACTTGAGAAATACTTTTAATATAGCATCATACGCATATATGATTTAAGCGTGAGAGAGAAAGAACAATCTTTTCAAATACTATTTGAGATGACTTGATCTTCGGAAGGTTCGATCGACTTGCGAGATCGTTTCAACCTTGAAACGATCTCGCAAGTCGATCGAACCTTCTGAATTGTGATGTCACCTCCACGTCATCTTAGTGTTTTAGACCAGTTTACATTGTAGTTTTTGTCATGTACTAAGTATTTAACTCATTTAAATGTAGATTACTTTTTAATTAAATACTGATTTGATATTGAGCTGGCTGGATACTGGCCACCTCTGTCTTTTCAGAGTATGTACTTCTTTTACAAGAACAAAAATGTCATTTTGTCATCTTCGTGACACTGATGAACTACGGTTGCATGATTTTCTGAATTTTTCGATTTATATTTTGCTGTTACAAATCAATCTATGTAAGTTCTTTTAGTTCAATTCAAAGTAACAAAAGTAGATCGCATTTGACCTAAACCGTGACCACCTTTTTTACCACAATATCAGCCATTCATCTGTAAATGACCGATATATTTAATTAATTATTGCCATAGTAATATCACAACAGTTACAATATCTAATGCAAAAAGGATAATCCCTGAGAATATTCATAAATAGGTTAAGTTTCTTTGTAATAAAGTTAAAATAAAGCTTTCGTAAGTGATTTTTCCCTTGGTCAAGTGCAATCGTCGAGCCTGAAATATCATGGGAATATCCAAAATACATAACTTAAACCCCATATTTTTAATGAATAAAATAATAAATTCAATAAAATGCAATCTGCCTCGTGTCACCTCTAAGGCCATAAAACTAGGTACAACATTCATTAGAGGGGATGTTAATTGACATCAGAGTTGTTTAATGATATAACCACAAAGCAGGCAGGAATTTATTATTATTTTCTGATATATCTTGTTTTTAGAACTATGAGTATTAGAGTGCGAATCGCAGAAGCTAGAAGATTTATAGTCGACTGCCTGAAAGCTGCTGGGGCGAACGAAACCCCGGCAATGCAACAGGCAGAGCTATTTATTCAAGCGGATAGAATGGGACATCAAAGCCATGGACTCAATAGATTAGGTAGGTAATACATAGACAGATAAAGGTAAAATTACAAATTGTTCCTCAAAAACTTTCCCCATCATGGTGACAGCTAAATATGGATAACCATGACATATTTTTTGAGATGAGAGCGAAAACTTTTCTTTTGAGCGAAATCTCTGTCTTGTTTGGTTTATGTTAAAGAGCTAAGAAAAGGAGCTTTACAAGAAATTTGTGTCCCTCTTCTGTATCTTTACATCTGTATCTATAAAATACATTATTACTTTTTGATTATAAAGTTATTGTTTTAAAATGCATCTAGACAAAATTGCTTGGCAAATGTTGATTTGTAATATTGTACACAGTCCTACATAATAGCATTCGATTTATTTCGAAAAGTAAAACCATTTAAATCAACGATGTAAGAGATGCATATCAGCATTGTCCCCTAGAATTCCAAACACCCTCAAAGATTGAAGGTCAGATATAGTGATGTATCGTCATTGAGGGAAAATATCATTATCCTAAATTTAAATGCCGAGGAATCATTCTAAATATCAATCAAGTTTTAAGTTGAAAGAATCTTAAGACGCTTAAAGAAATACTGTTCCTTTGGTGTATTGTTTGAAATGGATTCTGAAATATCGGTACTTCATGAAACTGCAATTTAATAAAATAAATTTCACTTTTACAGAAAGCTGTGTTAATGACATCACGAATAAAGTTTGTGAACCTAATAATGAGCCAGAAATAATAAAAGAAAGCCGATCAACAGCATGGATAGACGCTCGCAACTGCTTAGGTGCCACTTCAAGTCAACTGGGCATGGACTTAGCTGTGACGAAAGCTAAAGATACTGGAATTGGATGGGTCAGCGTAAAGGGTAATTAAAAATAATTAGAAAATATTAGTAAGCAAGAAAACTTTAATTATTTACTACATATACATTAAAACTAAGTAAGGAGCTTTAGAGGAAGAATATGAAATAGATCTTGGATCATTTTCGAGCATATCTAGTTCTTAAAATGAAATCACTAGATAAACAAATATTTGTCTAAGCATAATAATATTATTATGACTTATCAAATCTCACACACGGTCGGTGTAAACCCAAACTAAGCAGAACCTGTGCTTTGTTAACCAGACTTTTGATAAACATACTTTTTTTTATGAAAGACTACTCCCGCATTAGTAATACATCCTGTATTGCGAGGGACTTTACAAACATACATGAAACGGACACAAAGAACACCCAGACTTAGAACAACAATTTGTTGATTACACAAATTGTCGTCCTATGTGGGGATCGAACCCACAACACTCAGCGTAGTAGGAAGCAGCGTGGCGACCGCTTAAACCACTACGCCATCCGTGCAATCAGTCAGTCGTTTTAGAATGTAGATTATATTCCAGGTGTAACTATTTATTTTTGCTTGTCTCTAGTGTATTAGAGTGGTTGGACCTGAGCCACAAGTACTCAAAGCATTGCTGTTGGTACTTGTGGCACTATTCAGTCCATTCGAGTAAGCAATATTCCATTGCTACCCTCTTTGAGCTCTTCCTTCTCATTTATAGAAAAAAGTGCCTAATCTGCGGCAATCGAATTACCCGTAATATGTGTGTGACCAAATAATAATTGGCAAAATGGGAGTATTTATTGTACTAAACCATAGAGCTAAGTAGAGTTGTAGAAACTACCAATTACATTAAAGATCTGAATGTGACCTTAGTCATGGCAAGTCATAACTGACGACACCAATAATATACATTTAAAGTTGTATTAATATAAAGAACATTACGTGAATATTTCAGGGTCAAATCATAATGGAATGCTTGGTTATTGGGCAAAATTAGCCGCAAAGAAAGGATTCATTGGATTGGCTTTCGCTAACTCAGCCCCCCTTGTAGCACCGACCAGAAGCAAAAAGGTTTTATACTAATGAATTATTGTTTAAAATTTAAAAGTTATGAAATAGATAAATAGGAGCAGATTCAAAAGAATATACCCTTACACTCACAGGATACGGGACAAATCCCTCCCACACGCCCACCACTATAACTCTCGTACACCAGGATCAACAGGAGAGATCCAGGATAACATGGAGTTATTACACTCGGGAAGTCCCAGGACAAAATAAACTGTCTGGAAAACCCGCAATGAAATTAACCAGAAGAAAATTGGGGCAGTTGGAAATATAATAAATCCACTTCCCTCCTTAGCAAAGCAGGACACAAAATGAAGTAAAAAAAAATAGTTTAAAAAAACTAAAAAACAGGCTTTCAATAGAAAATCAAACTAAAAAATAGAAAAAAAAATGTTAATAAATTTGAAAAAAAGCGTTGGGTGCCTGTTGTCAATAGTCAAAATCACTCCCAAAGGAGTCGGTTACAAACAAACATACAAACATACAAGTGAAGCTAATATGTATAAAGTGTGTAAAAAAAGACATACACCCGTTTAAACAACGGAAACAAAATATACACCCATTGGGTAGCTACACAATTATGTCTCTTGAGTCCATCAGGTGACCCGCCTGCTCTTTCCCCCCCCCCCCCCCCCCCCCCCCCCCCCCATAAAAACAATAATATTAATAATTTATAAATAATATATTTAAAAAGTTAAGAAGTGTGTGGTTTCCGTGATGTGATTTTAACCCGTATTAAGAATACGGAATGTCACCAACCCTGTTCATTCCATAGGTGTCGTAAGAGCCAACAAAGGGAGCAAACTTGGCGGATAACTGTAAGGCTTTTGATGTGATGTGTGTGTGTGATGAGTGTGTAAAATATTGTATGTTTTCATAGATCATCATTTTAAAAACAACCTTTAATTTCATAAATTGGTTTTCCAGGCGGCTTTGGGTACAAATCCATTGGCAGTAGTGGCCCCAGCAGGCGATGACGAATTCTTCTTTCTTGAAATGGCCACTTCAGCGGTTACTCTGGGCGTGGTATGTAATTTTGACTATTAAATTCGCTTTAGGTGATATTCATTCTCTCTTTTCTGAATGGTTATCTACCTACAGATTTACTTAAAAATATTGTGGTGAACATAGGCAAATGATAGTAAAATATATAAGTTTGTATAACTTACATCTTGAAAAATGAGAATAGAAAAACCGAAGATTAATTTACATGCGTTCAAAATAATATTATAATATTCCACCCAATGATACCTCTTGTTTGTATAAAATATCATTCCCACAATGCAATTTAGTCCCAAAATAAGCAGAGCTTGTACTATACAACTGATATAAAACATATATACTTTTTTTTAGTAAATACATACATATTATAGATAGAAACAGCCACATCAAATCAAACATTAAATGTTCATGCACACAAACTTTTCGCATATCAATCCGTAACACAAAGCATTACGCCATGCCGCCGTAAAAAAATTGTTTTCAGGAATTGAAGAATACAGCTTATTACAATTCATCACGATGCACTACTCTTTGAAATCAATACCACTTTTTTAACAGTTAATATTACTAATATTACTTTGTAAAACTATCTGAAAAACAAAAACAAACAAATTGAATTCCATAAAGAAACTTAACGCTAACGATAATCTGGACTATTACGTGTGTACAAGCGTATTCTTGTATATAAATTATTATTAATTTTTAGATAGAAATGAGGCGAAAAGTACACATGTATATACCAGACGGATGGGCACTGGGCCTCGATGGCAGGGCAACCACAGACCCTGAAGAGGTAAGTAATTTGTAACATAGACACACTGTAACGTAAATAATCATGTGCATAAATAATAATAAAAAGAAGTTGCCGAATTTCTTGAACGACAGTAGTTATTTAGCTTAAACTTTTTTCTTTTTAATTTAAAATTAAATGTGATGGAATATAGGTAGACTTTTTTAAGAGAAATAGATACTTAGTGCTGATTTAAAAATATTTTTTTTTTAAAAAAAGACAAAGTAATCAAATATCCTATGTCACGAGGGACTTTAAAAACATACATGGAACGGACACAAGGAACATTCCATCCAGACTCAGAATAACAATTTGTGGATCACACAAGGTGTTGTCCCATGTGGGGATCAAACCAACAACATTGAGGGCATTAGTGACCGCTTAAACCACTACGCTATCCGTCCACTTTATAATATTAATATCCGTTTTACAGGCTATGAGAACATCAGTTCTAATGCCTTTGGGAGGAGGTGAGACCACATCAGGATACAAAGGATATGGTCTATGTGCAGCTGTGGAGTTGCTAACTGGAATGTGTGCAGGTAAAAATATTTACTTCAAATTATAGATTTAGAAATAAAAAAAGTACAATTCATCATCAGCCTATCGCAGTCCACTGCTGGCCTCTCCCATTGACGGAGCTTAGATTGATTTTAAGCTTCTCGCATCCAGCTCCTGCCAGCCATCTTGCGGAAATCCTCACTCCACCTGACCTGTGGGTGTCCTACACTACGTTTGCGGAGACGCGGTCTCAACTGAATAACTCGTTTTCCCCAACGGTTGTCGGTTCTGCGGCTAATATAGCCAGTCCACTGCCACTTCTGCTTGCAAATAATTACGTTTAATATTAACCGCAAACGATGAAGACGATTGCCATCCAACTTTGGCACCCCAATACAACATTGACAACGTACCTTCTTGGATAGAACCTTGTTGTTTCAGTATCACTACTTCAGAAATAAAATTAGTAGTTAATTAGTACTGTAGAATTAGTCTTCATACTGCGAAATTATGAGTTTAGTATAGCTTGCTAAATAAATAAGGAGGTTTTAATTGCAGATATCCTTTCGATGACTGAAATATTTGATTAGACCAGTAAGTTTACCATGGTCCAAGTTTTTTTTTGTTATACATTTAAACATACACTCACTTGTATATCGCATAAGGGGTAGATAGAAACTTTTTTTTTATAATGATCTCTATAACGTATGATCAGTCAGTGACATTCCTTGAATTTGTTGTTTTTTAAATAGGTTCAAACTACGCCCACCATATTCAGCCATTGGGAGCATCTACGGCTGACAATCCAGCAAACCTGGGTCAAACTTTTATCTGTGTGAATCCTAATTCCTTTGCGCCCGGCTTTCACACACGATTATTAGAGTGCATGCAATACTGGAGGCAGTTAGAACCGGTATGTGGATATTTATTACAAGTTTTTAATTTATCTTGACTCGCCCTTAACTGTACAACATTTATATACTGCACAGATGGCGTAGTGGTTTAAGCGGTCGCCACGCCATGCCGCTTCATACTGCGCTGAGTGTTGTAGATTCGATCCACATAGGACAACACTTTGTGTAATCCACTAATTGTTGTTCCGAGTCTGGGTGTTCTTCTTCTTAAATACATAATGCAGGCGTTGTCTTTAAAAAATAATAATAATAGTAAAGAATTGTGTGTTTTATTATGCTTTCTAAGGAGAGGCCTATGTCCAGCAGTAGACTACTAAAGGCTGTTGATGATAAAGATTATGCTTTCTAACCTTAACCTGTCAACAGGTTATTTGATAAAATAAATAATAGAATAGCTAGGGCAAACGAGCAGACGAGTTACCTGAAGTTAGTGGCTACCCCCACCCATGGACACCTTTAACTCGTGAGTCACAAGTACGTTGCCGCCCTTTCAGTCCCTTCCCCCAGAATTAAGGAAAGGGGAAAGGTTGGGCTCCAGTAACCTCACTCAGGGAAAGCAAGGAATGAACTGCTTAAAATCGGTTTTCTGTGAGACCGCGGTATCACTGACCGAGCTTGGACCATATATGCAGAAGCATGGCTGTCCCACGATTATAAAAAGGCCTGTTAACTTGTCAGGGGTAAGAAACAGTGCTTTCCTTTCTCGGGTATACCTGGTTCCCCGGCTACTATTACATGGAGCCGGCATGTGGCTTTTCGTCGGTTAGAGTCCGACATAATCACCCCAGTGGATGGTGGTACCCGAGGATAGTTCTGCACAGAAATAAAAACGGGTGCAAAACAGGACTTAGTGTACCCAGATAGGGGTTCATCCTGAAAAAAGAACATTTCTGACGGCTTTAACAGTAACCACTTCGATGCTTTAAATTGAAATTATTATTATTGTCGCATATTACTTCCAGGTGGATGCTGAGAAGCCAGTTATAGCACCAGGTGACATAGAGAAAATGGCAGCTGAAGCCACAGACGCAAGAAACGCCATCTTATATTTACCATATCAAATATCAATTTGCGCTGCCCTTGCCGAAAAACTGAATGTTAAACATATAGAAACAATTGTTGATAAAGAATAAAAGAGAGATTAGACTAGATTTTGACTTAGAAAGCATTTATAATAATGTCACGTTAATGTCACTACTGCACATGATAATCGGCTAGATGAGTGAGTTATTCTCAATCCCCGTAATATATATATTATGTTGAATTTGGCCAGTAAGTAGCTATTTCCTCTCCATTTTTCTCAACAAAGGCTCGTTATTTTTGATAGGTTTTGATTAATAATTGATTAATAATTTAGATAGACTATCTAAGTCTATCTAAATTATTTATCCATTTTCTATTGATGCATAATTGTCAATTATTAAGGTAGTGTGCCTCGTGTTGCAAGTGCAACACTAGACACACTAGCTTCCCAGTAGAGGTTTAATTATTTTTTACACCAGCGATAAATAACAGTATAAAACTTGTCTTTAATTTTGATTTTGAGTCCTTTCATGTCCTGAGTTCATATTAGAAACTTTCGTGCATTAGCTGTTAAATCAAAGTTCACTAAACATTCACTGTCCGTTTCAGGTAGTAGTTGAAACAATGGAGATTATATATTTACTGGAGATCCTTAAGAAACTTGGTCAAGAATTTATTGAAAAATATGCTGTATTCCATTATCAAATAAAGAAGATAAACATTGGTCTTATATAAACGCAGCAGCGAGATCTTAGCGAAGAAGCAAAAATCATGCACGTTTACTGAAAGATTTACTTTTTGATCTGTTTTATTAGATATATAATATAATATATTCCCTATTTAGACAATTTTATAATATACATTTATGTATTTTAACTTTGTCTCATTTATTCTTCTTTCCTTCGAATGACCAGATTACATCCTCTATCTAATCTCGATATTATTTTCTTTTAAGAAGCAAAAAATATCACCTTGCTAAAAAATTGTTATGTACCAAAAAGTCAGCTGTGCCGCCGGAATGCAGGAACGTATGTAGTATGAGCGCCTAAAAATTAGTTATAGTTTGTGTCTCAAAATCTTGCTGCTTTTCTAAAACTGGAGTTATCTCTTCATTTTATTAGTATTATTACGTAAGATTTGAAATGAAGCTGCGACATAGTTATCTTGACATTACGCTCGTAAAAAATTTAGTTAAATTAACACGCTTTTGTAACTAGCTGTACTAAAAAGTAAAAAATAATGTTCAAAAAGAAAATGCGTGGGGTGGTATTTGTTTCAAGTTTTCCTTCTCTTCAGCTTGTCAGCTTGTGTGACTCGTAGGAAATCCGTCGGGGGCTTACATTTTAGCTTTTAATGCTGTTTTTCTGTAATGAAATGAAATGATAAAATACTACTTAATTACTAATAATAATTATATATACTATACATATACTATATATATTCTTATAATTTCTGCACAATTATAAATCTCCCAGATGCAAGACAGAGCCTTGAAAATGCAAGAAAATCGAGCAACTTTGCCGCGAGCGCTCTTAGCTAGCAGCAGAGGAATCATGAGATCTCGCTCCAAAATTCGTTTTTAACGTAAAGACAATCGGAATCAGAAAAAAAGAAAAGACAGTGCGCAAAAGAGAGAGAGAGAGTTCCCTATTCCTATATCCGTATTTTTTTTTTTAAATTTTAATCATTAATTTATTTTTGCTTTATTAGTCATTAATTCAATAATTATTTTCTCATTAAGACTAAAAAAGTAACAAGTCAATCGCAAATGCACACGCCTCTTGGTGTATATATATAACCCTCCGCACCGTACAGCGTACTCCTGCGTCTTTAGACTGGGTGCCCCCTTTGATTGGCTCCTATATGACTTGCAAAACAGAACTTTGTTTTGAAAGTCCGGTTGCATTGCGCACAGTAGGGCTGGCCGTCCGAGTTTAAGGTGTACGAGATCCGGGGTCTAGTTTCGCGCAGTTGACGCTTTGTGTCGAGATCTTTCAAACGAGTTGTTTCGAATTTTTCGTCAGTTCTTCGTCATTCGAGTCTGAGACCAGCACGCTGCTCCCAGCCATGCGTTAGTATGCCACAGGCGAGAAGGTTACGCTTGAGAACGTCTTCTTTGTACCAGAGGTACTGACAGCCTTCTCTGCGCTTTCCGCATGTTAGCTCACAGTAAAAGATTACTTTGGAAACGTGCTATCGTTCATGCGTGAAACGTGGCCGGTCCATCTCAACTGCTGTTTTATTATGAGTGCTTCCGGGTAGACTCGCTCGACGTAAGATCTCAGTGTTTGGAACACAGTCCTGCTATTTAATGCTCAGAATGGATGGAAGTGCTACACTTCCACCAGTGCAGTATTGTTCAAGTTGATCCTGGAGCGATCCTCACTACAACCTCTAGGCTGCTTTAATACTCGAGTCATACTAGCACTGATGACTAGGTCAAGCCTGTGGCATGATGTGTGCAGAGAGTCCACATTAGCCTGCAATAACTCCGTGGAATCAGCCATAAGGCATACGTTGTCGGCGTACAAGATGTCGAGTATTGTAAGTTTTTAGGGTTCCGTACCTCAAAATGTAAAAAAGGAATTATAAGATCACTTTCTTGTCCGTCTGTCCGTGTGTCACCACCAATTTCCTACGGAACGGGTAGACCTAGCAAGTTAAAATTTATACCTGATACTAGGGTCTATGGGTCCTATTAGGTATATAAAAATGAAGGTCCTGAGTCTACACGATAAAAAGATATGGACAAATTTCGATTTTCGCGAAAACTTGTAAGTACCAAAATTTACCTTAATTTTCAACTTTTTTTTATTTTCCCGAATTTTCTGTTTACTTGTGCTATAAGACCTTGCTTTTAACCAAAATTGTCAATTCTAGATCAACCGGAACTATCCTATAGGTTTTGGGTCGAAAACCTATATGGCAGTTCCCGTTAACCTAGAATCACGAAATTTAACAAAAAGAAACGTCTTACAGTACAAATAAAGGAATAATTCCAACAAATAAAAATATAAAGTTGAAAATTAAGATAAATTTTGGTACTTACAAATTTTCGTGAAAATCTACGTAAAATCTGGGTAGGTACGGAACCCGCGGCGCACGAGTTCGACTCGTACCTGACCGGTTTTTTTAATTTGTCGCTTGGCTCCAAGTCGGGAAAGGTCGAAAATGCTCTTGTCGGCCCCTGAGCTGACTTCAATAATGCTGTCAAAACATATTGAAAATAGAGTAGGAGCCAGTACACAGACTTGTTTCACACCACAGTTACGGGAAATTGATCTGAAAAATATTCTTGTGAAATTGACGTATCAGGTTAATTAACTTTCCAAGACCACCAGCTTTTTTCAATACGGTCCACAGAGCTTGACGTGGTACCTTGTCGAAACCTTTTTTAAGTCGACAAAGCACAAATATAGTGATATTGTTCCAGGGTCTTCTCTTGAATTAGTCTTATAACAAAGATGGCACCCATAGTTCCTCTACCCGGCAGAGGTACTCTTCGAGAATATTGCGTCTGTGCTCCTCAACGAGGTTTTTGATTTCCTAGTCGGAATCATCAAACCACTCTTGGTTTTCCGTTCTTTTTTACCAAAAACTCGCTAAGCACAACGGCAAATAGTCGCCACATCTCTTCAACAGATATATCTTTTGCAGTTTCCGGCATAGCGGCACAAAAAGCGTCATCTAGTTCTTCTATAAGATCTTTATTGCCAAATAAACTTTTCGTAGTGACTTGTATTTTTACTGGGATTTTGTATAGAGCTCTGCATGGTGCCTGTACTTTTAAACGAAGCTTTGAGCAAAAAAGTCGGTGGTCAGTCCAGCCCTGGGCGCCTCTCAACACTCGGGTAACCAGTACTTCTTCAAAAAAAATGTTTAAATTTTTATTTTATTTCTATAGACTGATAAATCTTAAAACTTGTTTCGTATTACTGTACTCTGTGCTAGTTTCACACGTCATTTTGACATTACACTCCACAAAACAAGTCTTTTGATTGCTTTGGTTGAGATATATTTATAATATGAACAAAATAATAATACTAACATGTTATAGATAGTAACGAAAGCTGACGAAAAATAATAAAATAAAATAAAAATAATGTCAGTATTCCCAATATTTAACGTTTTAATCCGCTATTTCAATTCATTACATTCGAACTATCTCCAATTTCTTATCAACTGGTTTCTATCTACCAACTTTAACCTCGCTTTTACGTACAATTAAGTACGTACCTGTAAAAAGACACAAGTAGTTAAACAAAATGGTTAAAGTGTTAGCATCAGAAGTCAAAAGATTCATGACTGAATGTCTGAAAAGTGCGGGTGCAAAAACTCGACCTGCAAAGCAGCAAGCTGATCTATTAATTTATGCTGATAAAATGGGCCTTGCCACCCAAGGACTTAATAAACTAGGTAAGCGACTATACACATCCCCTGTCATCTCTTATCACAGATCATCATCAACAGCCTTTACTAGTCCACTGCTGGACATAGGCCTACAGAATAAAATAGATCAAATCGCGGTCTCCACTCTAGCATATTTCGGCTCCAGTGACTATCAGTCCGTCCGGTAACATGACCAGCTCACTTCCACTTTAGAGTATAGATTCTCCGTGCGATGTCGATTACTTTAGTTCTCTGTCGAATAGCTTTGTTAGGAGTTTTATCGGCTAGAGAACCACCTAGAATCGCACGATTTGACTGCACGGATGGCGTAATGGTTTGTCGGTCGCCAAGCCGCTTACTGCTGCGCTGAGTGTTGTGGGTCCGATCCCCACATGGGACGACACTTTGTGTGATCCACAAATTGTTCTTCTGAGTCTGGGTGTTCTTTGTGTGACATGTCTTTCATGTATGTTTGTAAAGTCCCCGGCGACACAGGATATATTCCTAATGCAGTAATTGTCTTTTTATAAAGAGAAAGGAAGAAAAGAGATTGGTATAGCAGATGGCAATTGATGCTTGTTTGTATATAGTACAATCGATTGGACTTGATTAGCCTGTTGGTCTATTAGATAGCGAAAGTGGTCAGTAAATTCGATTCCTACCCAGACCAAATGATATTGTGTTAGTACAATCATTTGTTGTATTGTAAAATGTTGTATTGTCATTAAGCCTTTTTAGTTCAGTTTAAAGATTTTGTGGATGAGCAATCGATTAGATGCTGTTTGTTTTTATGCAGTACCAACAGTAAGTAAGGACATTCACACAATACACTTTGATGTACGGCTTAAAATACCTCCATATTTAAAAAAAATGCTTGCTGGTATTTTTTGTTCTTTGAACAACTACTAACTACTACTAAAGACAAAGTGCTACTAAAGACAAAATGCGTATAATAACTTTAGATATGTATTAAGATTCTTGCGTGAACGACATCAAGAGCGGTCTATGTCTACCTAACAATAAGCCGGTCGTATTGAAGATGGAACCGTCGGCGTCCTGGATCGATGCAAAGAATGTTATGGCGGCTACAGCAGGCCACTTCGCTATGGAGCGAGCGATTAAGATTGCAAATAAAACTGGAGTGGGATGGGTACTCGCTACAGGTACTGTAACAAAATGATATACGAGATTGTTTGAAATAGGTAGACTCCCTTATTTGTTAATCAGCTTGAACTAGTTTTTTTTATGTATTTCTATATCTTTTACTAAGTGAAATGGTGAGTGAAATGGTAAGTGAGATTCAACGAGCTTTTATTTCATCACCTAGAAATATTTTATTTTGTTATAATATATAAGTAAATGCGGGGTTACTGGTTTAGTTGGCCTAAATACTTTAGGGGGTTGTAGTAGCTATTAGTATTAAGGATTTACCATATCCCAAATCCAGTCATTTTCAAGATATTGGACTTGGATCATTTTGAAGAATTTTTCGATTTCCGCTCAAGTCAAACATTTGTGTGCATGAACATTTGATGTTTGATTTGGTCTGGGTGTTTCTATGTATAATATGTATGTATTTACAAAAAAAAAGTATATATGTATTTACATCAGTTGTCTAGTACCCATAGTACAAGCTCTGCTTAGTTTGGGACTAGATGGCGTTGTGTGTATGTGGTAGAATATATTATTATTATTATATTATATAAATTGCCAAAATTTTGCCTAATATTTTTTTATAACTTATATCCTTATTTTTTCTTTTTTTAATGTTTTTGTCCAGTTAATACATTGTTTTATAATTTCCATAATGTTGATGGTTATGATAATAATAATGGTTGGCAGATGACAAGTTATCTGACTAAGTTAGTTGGGGGTTTCCGAACCGACCCTCCGAGTTGTCCAACTGGTTGGTCAGTTAGGAATATTTTTTCCTAACCACCCAACTTCTTCATCTGGTAGGTCAGTTAGTAACAAAAGATATTATTACATTCAATGCCTACATAGTTATCGATGTAGGACTCCTGAGTTTCAGACGTTCCTGGGCTTTCACTTTCCATCAGGTGACCCGTCTTCTCGTTTGCCCCCTCTATCATAAAAAAGGACACTATATTAATTGTACAAATTCACGAATTTCAGGATGCAATCATGATGCTGAGCCATTTAGTTACTGGGTTAAACAAGCAACCGACAGAGGGTTGATTGGTTTGGCGTTCAGTGCGTACTCTTCATTTTTACAAGAACAGGTTAAAAAATCATTTATATTATTTTTTTAATAGATGAATGTCGATACAGGCATTAATGCCTGTTAACAGTACTGCTCAACTCGTACGCCATGTACATCTAATTAAACGTACATGGCGTACGAGTTGAGCAGTAGCGTTACCTCATGATTCTACTTCTACCAGTGAGTGTTGTGACAGTCTGAACGCCAATTCTCGTAATAAAAATTCAGTCAAAATTCAATTCCGACCAACTCTTGAGCTCACAACTGTCGTAAAAGGTATTTTCGTAGTTAGATAGTAATTACTTTTATACTATTTTCTAACTAAAAGCATGTAAGTAAAAAAGTCCAAAGATCAATCTTTCAATCAATCAATCAATCAATCGTCAAAATCTTTAAAATTGTTATAAAAATGTAATAATTTACTTTTGAAAAAGTATCACCTACTTCATTTCAAATTCTAGAAGCTATGTATATATATCTATGTAACTTAAGTACTTTTTCTTGAAATTTTAATGCGACTAAATGAGCATCCATCGGTTAAAAACCCGACAAAACCGTAATGAATTATATTTTTCATTCAATCTACTTATTTCATACCTTGTATATATCCAAGCAAAGCTCTAACTAATAAACGACTAAACATTTCAGTTACAGCTTGAGTATACTGAGCCGTTATACATCGGAAGTGGTAAGAATGAGCTAGTACCAGTTAGCGACGTCCGAATTGTTTATGGAAATCAAAATATAGATGAGGTTAGCAAAACGTATTGCATTATTTTTAGCAGACTTTAAACTGCCATATTACGTAGTACTGCTAAGAGCCTAACATAAGTGTACTTTTTTACTTTAGAAATACACACAAGCTGGCATAAATACTTGCCTCCTTGTGTGTATTTTACTATATTTTACCTTAGTTTTTTTGAAGTGATAACTTCTTGTGGGAGGGTAATCCGCTTCGTTACGTAACGCGTTACGGCGCTAGTCTGTCTGGCCTCCCTTTCTCTCACGCATACGGCAGCGGTATGCAGGCTCCTCCTCTCTCACTCTAACCCACAGCGCTAGCCGTAAAGCTAGGACAGACGCTTTACATAAAATTTAAGTAATAACCTTGGCTTTTCTCAAGTTAAACAATTTCAATATGAAATAGTTCAACTTAGATTAGTTTAAGTTATCACTTCTGTCGAGCGTCCCGAGACGCACACTTTTATTTACCTAATGTGATATAATAATAAATATTTTGAACGCAAATCTAACAAAATTACAAGTTAATGTGCAGCTTTATTTAACAGTCCTTTTTAATGCAATTAATTTAATAGAACTATTTTATTTCTGAAGAGAAGCTTGCGGAGTCCAATTAGCGAAATTATTTCATCCGGGTACAAGAAACGAGGATTTGAAACTATGCTGGAGGTGTTGGGATTTCCAGGTAAATGGTTTATTTTTATATCATATCCTATATATTGATTCACGGGCCGATCAGTCCGGGCCGGGCAGGCCGTCTTCATGAGAAAGAAAAATAAAAAAAATTGCAGATTCTCTGATCTTTTAATAACAGGTGAAAATTATGGGCCGCTTTTTTAGTTTGTTGTAGTTATTTATTTAAAAATTGTTACCTACTGTTCATTTAGACTTCTCGATTCTGTATTTGACAGGCAAGGAGAACTTACAATCTTGGTCAGCGGAACCATTAACGAAAAAACTCGTTAACTCATTCGTTGCCGTCAACCCAACTTGCTTCGCACTTGGCATCGATAGCAGATATACAAAATTTGTTGAAGTATGGAAACAATGGGACGAAGTACGTATTGTAGGTTTTTTAATGTGTTACATATTTCTCCTCACCTTTCTGCTATCAGTGTGAGAGCAGTGGCTGTTTATCCCTAAGGCAAAGTAAGCACGTGCCTAGGGGCGCGAGGTTACAAAGGGGCGCGTGCGCAGAATTTTTTAACAATCAGAAATTATGCACATACTTACACAATATAAAGAGTTATTTCATTCTATAAAGATGTTTAAGGTTTTTCCCTGAAGGTTAGGCCCGCGCTTTTGAACGGCAGGCGCCGTCATTTACTCAAGTAAGACCGGTTTCATTCGGCGTGAAATGTCGTGCGGTGGTCCACAGGGGTCGGTGATAGGGCCACTCCTGTGGAACATCTTCTCTGACTGGGCGCTACACGGTACCTTCTTGGAGGGGGTCACGTGCCACACGCTCGTGACGTCGTGCGGTAAGGGGCACCGTGAGGATGCAGTGACTGGGTCTCCAGGTGTCTCTGCACATATCTGAGGGCCTTGTTCTTTCATGATCCTCGTAGGAGGCCACCTGAGCAATCCAGCTTCATAATAGGAGGCACTTGCATTGATATCTATCCCTCGATTAGGTATCTGGGACTCATACTTGGTCCGGATCCTGGGACTTGAAAAATCGAGGACTTTCTAGTGAAGGAGTGGAGGGAAAGGCTTGGGCAACCAAGCGCCGGGCTCGCCATTATAGCGGCGGTAAGACCTGTTATGGAAGATTGACTCGAGAGGAAACACGTAATCCCTTTCATACCGGCTGACGCAGGAGATCACTTGTGTCTAATCCGCAATTAACCAATGCTTGGATGCCACCATTACGGTGGCTAGAGCGTGGAGTGATGAGATGCTTGCCTAGGGCGCTCTTGATACTTAATCCACCTCTGTGTTAGAGTTAGCTTAAAAGAAACCGAAGTGTACACACTTGGGTTTTTTTTAAGCTAACTTCGAAAAAAGGAATTTTATTGCTATTACAATAGCGAGGGGAGCGCGCGCTCCCGTTATGGAGGATTGGCTCGAGAGGCGTCACGGGACCCTCTCATACCGACTGACGCAGGTGATCACTGGGAAAGGATGTTTCGGGGATCACCTGTGTCTGATCCGCAAGGAGCCAACGCCTGAGTGCCACCACTGCGATGGCCAGACCATGGACACGGCTCTCCACACGCTGGCAGAGTGCCCGGCGTGGGTTGAGCAGACGCGAGACCTCGTGGCGGCCATCGGAGTGGGAGTTCTCTCGCTCGATAGCCTGATTGCGGCGTGCGGTTTTAGTCGGTTCGAGTCCGACATGCCACCGATAGGTGGTATCCGAGGGGATTTCCGCACGGGAAAAAAAAAATAGGGGAGCGCGCGCTATTAGATTTGGCCATCGAGCGCGCTCGGTGCTAGCGTTATAATTAGTTATAAATAATAATATTCTACCACATTCACACAACGCCATCTAGTCCCAAACTAAAGCAGAGTTTGTACTATGGCTACTAGACAACTGATATAAAAACATGTATACTTTTTTTGTAAATACATACATAATATAAATAGAAACACCTAGACCAAATCTAACATTAAATGTTCATAAACACATATGTTTGACTTGAACGGGAATCGAACCCGCGACGTGTGTAACGGACGGACGACCCGTCCGTTACACAAACCACTACGCCATCCGGTCGTCAAACCGGTCCGTCGGTTGGCCGTGAGATATATGGAGTGTAGACTTAACGAGTACCTTGTATGGGTAAAAACCAAAAGGCAAAACCGAAAAAAATATTAACAAAAAGCAGTATATAATAGTTCTAAAACCGACCAGAATGGCGCTAGTGTAGCCGTAGGGGATGACATAAACATAGCAGTTATAGGCGGAGTGAAGTTTGCTAAGTTAAAGTACTTTTATTGTCAGTAAATAGTTAATACAATAAAAGTCACCATCATCATTTATTATGAACATACGCGTCTCCTTAGAAAGGAACTTTTGGCTTACTATAATTTACCCAAATAAACTCCGACGAAATCTTCAACGCAAACTGTAGTACTTGTAAACATATTAGGTATGTATGTCGTTGGTCAAAATACAGTGACAAAAAAGTATTGTCAGTAACATATATACAGAATTACGTTCGTATTTGCAAAATTAATGTAGAATTATAAGTTATTATACATTGCGTAGGTTGCGACGTCATTATATTGTCACGTTTATGGTCCGTATTTCTTCCCTCCCAATTTTACGCATTTTAATGGCCACTTTTCATACACAAAGATGGTTCTCCTTACCTCTACACTCCATAGTCAGATGATACTTGAAACGTTAGATGTTACACATCATATTTTATGTGACTACTGTAAAAGAGCGAAGCCACATGATGCGTTGACGGCGCGGTGCGGCGCCACACCGTAATGAATTCGAAGTACAGGTGACACACAGGTGATGCGGCACCGCAGTGCACCGCTGTTTGGGAGATATGAGATAGTAGATAGGTGGTATCCGAGTTGATTTCCGCACAGAAAATAGATAACAATCTATCTTTCTAACAGTAAAAGAATTATTTAAATCGGCTAATTACCTAGTACGGGAGATTACCCCGGACATACAAACTCACAAGCTTTATCTCTTTATAATATTAGTATAGGTAGCAGTCCACGTCCTTTCCAAGATCTTGTTTATCTGTATACCAATATTTATACAAATCAGTTTAATAGTCCTCTACATACAATAGGACATAGGCCCCTACTTAGAAAGGAAATTTTGGCTTACTACGAGGGCGGGTCAATAAGTCCGTGACTTTTGGAATAAAACACAGATTTTTTGATAAATAAATCATCTTATTTTTCAACGTAGTCTCCCTTGAGCTCTATACACTTTGTCCAACGCTTCTCCAATTTTTTTATCCCTTCCAAAAAATATGATTTGTCGAGGTCCTCAAATTAGGCCTTTGTTTGCGAGATGACTTCATCATTGGAGTCAAATCTTTTTCCACCAAATCATTTCTTCAGGTTTGGGAACAAGAAGTAGTCACTCGGAGCCAAATCTGGAGAATAGGGTGGATGAGGGAGCAATTCATAGCCCAATTCATGATTTTTGCCATGGCAACTGCACATGTGTGCACCCTTGCATTGTCTTGGTGGAAAAGAACGTTTTTCTTGGCCAAATGAGGTCGGTTTTTTTTCAAATCGTCATTGAATCGGTCCAATAAGTTGGCATAATATTCCCCATTGATTGTTCTTCCCTTTTGAAGGTAGTCAATGTGGATTATCCCGCGTGCATCCCAAAAGACAGTCGCCATAACTTTATTGGCTGACAAACCCACCTTGCCCTTCTTTGGCGCCGATTCACCCTTAGAAACCCACTGTTTTGACTGTTGTTTGGTCTCTGGTGTGTTGTGATGGATCCATGTTTCGTCCACGGTTACAAAACGGCGCAAAAACTCCTCCATATTGCGATTAAACAACGCCAAACCTTCCTGTGAAGTTGTTACACGCGATTGCGTTTGTGGTCGACTGTGAGCAATCGCGGCACCCATCTTGCGGAAAGCTTTCTCATGCCCAAGTGATCATTCAAAATTGAAACCACTGAGCCATGCAAGATCCCTACAGCTTCCACAATCTCTGGCCAACACCATATCGTGATTTTTTTCGATTGTTTCGGGTGAAGAGACCTCAACTAGGCGTCCAGGACGTTCGGCATCTTCAGTGCTTGTACGGCCACAACGAAATTCAGTAAACCACTTTTTTACCATTGAAATCGATGGTGCAGAGTCCCCATAGTATTTATCAAGCTTATAGTATTTATCAAGCCTTGGTCTCGGTAATGGTTTTTTTTTCGCAAAAAAATAATGCTTAATAGTCTGGGTAGTCTTGCTGGGTAGTCTGATAAAGATAGCTATCAAACACAAACTAACTGACGCAGCAAGTTCAAATTTTGATAGGAGTCAACTGACAGATGCCTGTTGACAGGAGTAGTGTTGCTTTTTCAGTAAAGAGGTCAGAAATTCAAAAATTCACGGACTTATTGACCCGCCCTCGTATAATTTCCTGCAATAATAATATACTTTATCCAAATAAACTCCGATAAAATCTTTAACTAAACTGTACTTACTGTATTTTACCTGTCGTTGGTCAAAATACAGTGACAATAGGTATATTACATTGTCAGTAACAGATATACAGAATTACGTTCGCATTTACTATATTAATATGGAAGTATAAGTTATTATACATTGCTTATGATGCGACGTCATTAAATATATATATATATTTCAAAATCTCTAAATTTCAGATGGATCCAAAACTGCCAGAACTCCTTGAAAATAACGAAGGTGTATTAACCTCTCACTTAGATGATCAATCATTAAGCTACAAGATACATCAAATAAATGCTAGTCTTAATCTTGCTCACAAACTTGGTGTAAAACCCATGGAGCTCCAAGAGGATTAACGAAATTGTGAAGTAACATGTGGGATATCGCACTGTGTTTGTTTTTTGTACGAATTATTAGATGTAACGAAAATGAAAACAGTCAATGCAGAAGAGTTATCTAACCGAGCACAATCCCAAAACCTGTATGAAATTGTAAATAAAGAACTCATTTCACCACAACGATATAATTCCATAGTCATTTTATACTTTGTAAATAGTCCAGCGACGAAGAATGATTTACAACTTCTTAATGTGTTTCTACTTTCACAACGAAAAGCTATATAATCAGCGAGAGGCTACTTTTTACCGCGATAACCGACACACGAGGGTGGAGCCGCAGGCAAAAGCAAAATATTTAAAATAATACAGCCGACCATAGAACCTCCTCCTGTTTTTAAAATCTATTAAAAAAAGTCTTTAGATGTCAGGCTGCCATGCTAGCGGAAATAAAATAGTTTTTACATTAAAGATGCCATCTATGATTCTGAAATAGCATTGTTTTTGAGTGTGAAAGATCGATGTAAGATGACGTTAGTTGTATTTCATTCTGTATGTAGTATTTTTATAGGTACAGTTTCTGTTTCATATTTGACAAATTATGTGATTTGTAACGTGTAAAATCTTTCCTCTCGGTTTTCTACAATCTGTGTATGTAATTTCAAACTGACGTGGCTGCTGCCCAACATGAGGGGGCCCGATTACTCCTGCAAGAGACTTTAAAGGGTCTTGTGCGGTCCATGGCCCTTTATGGGACTGCAGTATGGGCGAAGGTCCTAAAGGCAGGCTACAGCTACTTTACACTACTACGACGAGCGCAATGAGTACTGGCCATCAGGGTCATAAGGAGGGAAGTACAATCTCCTTTGAGGCGCCGAGCGACAACTTGGGCAACCAAGTGCCGGTCACGTCGCTATTGCGACGGTAACCTCTTATGGAGGATTTGCTGAAGAGGCAACACGGGACCCTCTCATACCAGCTGACGTAGATGATCACAGGGAAATACTGCTTCAGAGATCACCTGTGTCTGATCTGCAACCTCTGAATTCCACCACTGTGATGGTTAAAGCACACACTGGCTGAATGCCACCTCTGTTCTTCATAAGCGCAGGCCTGGGGGTGACAGGAGAGGCCATCTGTCACCCCAGCAGAAGCAGACACAGGTAAAGGGTGGCAGAGGTAAGGAACATTATCTTGTATGAATGACCACTATAGATTGCTAACCGAAAAAATAGCCATAATATATATTACAGTTTTAAAACCGACCGGAATGGCGCTAATGTAGGCAAAGGTTATGAATTGTACTTAGCAATTTTTAACGGTGTGAACCGAGTTAAAATGCTTGTTTGTAAATAATTAATATAGATTTTCTTTTTCTGAACTTATATTCTGACTACTTTCACAATTAAATTTAAATAAGACTAATCATTTTTTTAACTAAATAATAAAATAATTTCAAAACACTTTTCTATCCTTGTGTAGTATTTCTTTACCCTACTCTAATAACTGTTGGCGTTTCCTATAAAACTTGCGCCCCCACGCCCCACCACAATCTCGAGGACACTTTTCATACCATAGAGACTGTTCTCCTTAGTCCTTACCTCTGCTACTCAACCCTCCATACCTTTTAGAAGGATTGTATAAACTGTTCGTTTCATTCTATTTTCCCTTAAGTAAATTTTCTACCACTGAACAGTCAGAAATAAGATTTTTAAATTTTATGTTTATAGATTTTAAGCCTCAAAAAATACTTTGAAACTTGATAATATTTTTTTTTGTGCTCAGACAACATTGCACAAAACGCTACGCAGTAGTCCCTAACCACAGAGTCTACTAACAATACAAGAGAATACAAATCTAGAAACATAATCCACAACGATAGGCCACGGGACACGGGACCAAAAATTTTTTTTTCGACGAATACTAAGTTCCAGTTAGATTTTTTTCATTTTATCATTTTCTTATTGGCTATTGACACCTTGAAATTGCGTTAATCTTATATTCATCTTATAATAATCTTATATTCATCTTCTCATTCATCTTATATTAATCTTATTTCTTATTTCTTTTTATTACTTCTTCCCATTCTCGAAATTTTTCTAGTCTGGCCCACGTAAACTTGAAAATCCTAGTTGGCAACACTGTTTTTACTGTGATTGCCTTGAAAAAAAAAATACTATTGCGCTCGCGTGCGCGTAGTAAGTGTGGAGTGTTGTAGTTAGAGTACCTACCTATTTTATTTTTCTATCGTAATTAGAAACGATTGTGTACGTGAAAAAGTGGGACCTGTTGTGTGTTTTGTACAAACATTATAAAGTGTTAAACATTGTGTCAAATTTATTTACGTATATCATAATACTTTCACTTCTCGTCGATATTTAGTGAAGATTTGTGGAGTTGAATCGTTTTGTCAAGTGTCAAAGCCTATTTTTGTTGTCTTGATGACTGTTAACGACCGAGATTTGATAATTGGTTTTGTGTGGAACACTCCTAAATAAATTGCAAAGGAGACAGGTATGCAATCTATAAAGACTATGACAGATTAAACCCTAATCCTGTCCGGATTTGTTGCTTTTTCTGAATATCAACAAAGCAGCTTTGATCTTTAGTTTCCGGATAAATTGATGTTATTGTGCAGGTGTGTAAACATCAGTGTCTGTGATAGTTGCTTTAATTAATAAGAGCTTGTGGATTTTAGCTGCTTTTTTAGGTAAGTAATTTACAGCATCTTCCAGCAGTTTCTTCTGTAAAACTTATTAATCTTTCCTATATCTATGTTAGTAGTCCCAATCATTTTTCATCCTCTATATTCCAAAATTATTTAGTAAGTGTATCCATTTATGTTTCTGAGATGTTTAATTTAATATATATATATAATATTTAATATATATATATTATATGTAATAATGAAATGGACTTTATTAATTTAATTACCTGCAAATTAAATAATATACTATATATTTATTACTATTGTGATTGCCATATCAATTCAATACAAGGAAAATTATATATTCAAGTGTACACAAATTCAAATTCAAGTGTAAGTGAAATCATATAATTGTGCACTTGATTATTTGTTAATAGTTTGTTGTTTGGCAAATAGTCTTTCTATGAAATTTTTATACTTCCAAAAAATTTTTAGTCTAATCTCTGTAATTTTTTTTTTAAATATTAATTATACACAATAAGGTTTTATTTAAAACTTGATTGTTATTATTTTGCAAAGATTTGTTTAAAAAAAAATTGAAATTAAATAAAATAGCCATATTATGAATTATATGAATTTGGAGTCCAAATTGTTTGTAACCAAACTAGACACCTCTGCTAAACTATTCACAGGTGTGAAGATTCATAGAAACACATGCATACAAAATCTGTCAGCTTTGTGTATGGAAATCACTATTTTCTAAAAAGAAAATATCTTAAACTATTTCTTTTCTCAAATGAAATAAAAAATGTTATTAGATATTTATTAAAAAATAAAAATAAAACAATCAAATGTTATTAGATATTTATTAAAGCTTAATAATTTTTACATAATGTTGTTACAACTCCAAGCACCATTCTTAAATGCTAATGTTTTTACTCTCATAGAAATAAAAGTTGATTGCAATAAAACTAGAAAGTGAACAAGTAGATTATAAAAAAAAAATCTTAAGTTATATATATAAAAAATATTTCTCTTGAAGACTTCCATAACATTAATATCGAATTAATTTACCATAATATGCACATTATTTTTTACTTATCAGAGATTGCCTAGTGGTTGAGTTTCAACTGGTTCTGGATGTCCAGACTGGACTGTCATTGTACATAGATTTTTGTACCATTAATGGTAAAGTGTATTCTAGAGCATTTTTAACATACTTAACATGTAGGTGCATATGTTTAAAAAGGAGTAAAGAATTTTCGTTTCATATCAAATAATAGATAATTATTATAAAGCTGGCTTTGCCTGAAAGTTTGCTCAATTTAAAGCTTTTGCCTATTATTCAACAACAGTACTTTTTAGATTTAAAATACCTTTTGTCCGTTTTGGTACAGCATATCTACAATTTTAAATTGTCATTTTTTTAGAAGCAAATGTGTAAAGGAGTAAAAAAATCAAACTCACATTCATGTGTATATAATATTTGGTAGAATTATTTTTTCACATACATAACAAAAGCTTAATTTATAAAACAAACCTCACTTATTATTTAAAAAACCCTGGAAATTTAGACATCAATAGTACTGATACTATTAGTACAATCTGTTTGTGATGTTAAACTTTTTTACCAATCAATATAAATTAAGAGATTTTCAATACAAATTAATTTCTTTTTGTACCAATATTGACACTAACTATCTAAATAAATTTTAATTGTAGGCTTATAATGAACAAGAAAAGAAATGATTATCTGCCTAATGAAATGATACTATTTCATCAAATTTGGTACCTATCACTTTTAACCCTCTATTATATAGTGCATTTGGCACAAACCAGAAAACCTGTCGGATTGGTGAAGACGGGTTGAATCTTGACCTATTTATTATCCATCCATCTTTGCTTTATATCCATTGCAGATCCTCCCAGGTTGATTCATTAGAAAAAAGTATAAAAGTCAATATATGAGTGAGTTGCAGACAGTTTTTTTAAGAGATGAAATACTTTGGTCGACAAATACAGCGACACTTACAGGTGTAACTTTGTTACACTGTTGGTGTCTGGTTCTTTTTATGAATGATTTAAATACCAGTAAGTATTATAAAATATACAATTAATTACATTAAATATTAAATATAAAAAGGCATGCTTTTTATATTGATTTCATTAATACACTTTTATTAGCTTTAATTGTATGTATGTATGTATGTTGTTGTGGTGTTTATAATATAATTTAATATCTTGGAGCTGATCTAAGGATGAAGCCAGGAGGGTTTTTTTTTATTTATTATCAATGCTATGACCACTGTTTATGAATGAAAATGCTATAGAGTTGGATAAGTAGGTTTAAAGTTAAACATTAATTTGTTATAGG